CTAACGCGGGTACTACGGGGAACAACCTTCTGGGCCGTGAAGGACGTACAGCTGAAGAGGGTTCAAGAAGGGAAACAGAAATGACGGGTACGGTACCTACTTACTATTATACAATGCACGGCAGGCATAAGAACTTGGAAGTTTTCCAAATTATCCTCTCACGCGTCCTTCTTCTCCGCTCTTTCCAAAGTACAAGCAGCCAACAGACCCCTCGCACATCCCATTTTCTCTACCCACCTACATGCATGTTTGCTTCGAACGGGTCAGATTGGATGGGACAAGTTTCCGCCCTTTGGTATTTGTGCCTAGAGGTAACCAAGACTGAGCAACGACTGTAAGTGTTTGCTTGGACGTTATCGTCTCGGGGTTCATCGTAAGACTTCCACTTCCATTGGATGGATGGTTGAGAGACACAATGGCGAACTGTTATTGACAACTACATGTAACTTCCCAATCTCAGAGTCAATACCTAGACATAAGGAAAATGTTTGAATGGGCGTTGACGCCACCTGAGGCTTTCAGCTAGTAGCAGGACTGTAAACTATAAAACAAGAACATGCTTACCAGGTCACCAACACCAACAACAACAACATCAACATAACATCTCATGTCTGCTTGTCATTGTATGTAGGTACTCTCGTGCGCATGTATGCTCATGATGTATGTGTGCAATTCTCATCAAATTTATCAATCATACCCGTTTTTTTCCTGACCCCTAACCTAACCATTGCAACCTTCGCGAGCCAGCCAGCCAAGCCATAATGAACATACTAGAAAGAAAAAAAAACCAACTGCCAATCAAGTAGTCCCCCCCGCCGACCTGCTCAAAACTCGCCATGACTAGTCCACCCCAAGAGAGACTCTGCTCTACTCCCAATCTCTGTTATCTGACATTGTGCTCCCTTTTCAAGTTCAGTGTCCAGTCCAGTCATCCACAATCCTTCTTAGTCACTCACGTCTCTCAGCCTACTGTCTCTTATATGTATGTGTGCACTTTGTCGGTGTCATGTCGTGTAGCGTAAGCTCAACCAAAGCCGCAAGTTACCCACAATGTAGCAAAAGTCTCGCGCCCAGGATAGGGTTCAACCGAGCGGACTGATGCCATGTGAAGTAACTGTTGATGCAATGCTTTGGGACCTTTGCTGTTGGACGACCGGCTGACTACCCAACTGAGTACGCACAACTGCGGCAAGTACATTCAGCCCTAACCGAGTACTAATAACAGCCACTCGGTGACAGAATCCATAAAAGACCATTCAGAGAACCTTTTCATCCATCATCTTGCTCCCTGACTTCCAGAAGGAGGAGAGCTCGACGACCGAGTCGGGCAGCCTGAAAGGAATGCCACGACGAACTGGGAAAGGAGACCCAGTGACAAATTGGTTTCTTGAAAGGCGCATGATGGTTCCATCGGCTATCGCAAAGAGTGTGCGAGGGCCGGGTTGATGTGCTTGCCGAAGTGTGTGTGAAAGAGAAGAGGTAAGGCTGTGGAGTGATGTGATGTCGGAAAGAATGAAGCGCTCCCTGGCTCTCCTTGACCCGAAAGGGGTCGCCAATGTTGACTTTCAGGGAATGCGAGTTTTGCAGGCCAGCCAATCCCCCCCATAAAGAAACAAACGCGACCACCAAAAACTCTCCAATCCAGGAAAACCAGAAAACCTGTCCGTGCCGGTAATCCGCCAGTTTCCCTTAATCGTACACCGAAGTTTGAAGTCGTGATCATCATGCTGTTGAAAGGAGAAGTAGGAAAAAGAAACCACCCAAACGCCAAACTAGTGGATGCTTCAAAGCCAGAGAAAGCAAATGCCGAAAAGAAAAACAAGAGCAATGAGTAGGAGACGGGAAAAAAAGCAGCAAGTTTATGTCGAGGCCGGTGATGGTATGTCGAGAATGTGTTGTCATCCCACAGGTTACAAGTGTGGGATTCATATACAGAAACGGGCCGCCTTGTTGTTGGGATCCATGGAATGGCGATAGACCCCCGCAAGCAGATGAAATGATGATCATTTACCCCCTAATAGCTGTCGCAGCATGAGCTTCCGCGCCACCATAGTTAAAGTTGTTTGAGTAGAACGGGAAACGATCGGCATAAGACATGGTGCTGTGGTGATATGGGTACTCGTTCGACGACGTACCAGTAGAGTGCGATCCGTAGCTGGGTCCGGTTCCGTAGCCAGATCCAAAGCTGTTAGTGCCAGGGCCAGTGCGTGGCCCAGTGCTTGAGGGGTCACCCGGGTTTTGCGGAGACGGGAAGCCCAACTTGAGGGGGCTTTCGGCTGGAGAGCCCCCAACAAAGCTCATGAAACCTCCATGAGAGAAATAAGGGTTGGGATCCCTCGGATGCAGCGAGTGATGCTGAGCCGTAGACCCCATACCGTAAAAGTTATTGTGGACCGGGCTTCCCTCGTAGCTCGAGTTGCTGCTGCTGCTGTTGCTGGCAAGCTGGGGAAGGTCACTGGCACTATCGAAGCGACTGTTGCGCAAGCTGCCATCCTTGATCTGAGGGCTGGATTGCTTGGTGGATCCAAACTGTTGTTATAAAAATATTTTGTTAATGACCGTTACCGTGAATTGTGCGAGGCCTTGAGGCTTGTCAAATGCTATCAACCAGATACCCAGGGCGAAGGACAACTTACGAAGCAGTACTTGTTAACGAGCTCCTCATACGAGGACGAAGCAATGCTGCCAGTGGTGGACACACCAGGAATGTTGAGAGAAGAAGGCTTTGCTGAGGTGGTAGCGGGAGCAGCGGTAGAAGGTGCAGGAGCAGGTGCTGGAGCCTTCTTAGGGGCAGCAGCAGGGGCAGGGGCAGAGAGAGCAGGAGCGGGAGCAGAAGCAACAGGAGTAGTCAGGGTGGGGTGACCCCTGCGCTGGATAGACGAGTTCGCAGCAGCAGGCTTCCTGGAGGACTTCATGTAAAGACCACCGTCATCCTTCTTGGGCAGGTTGTCCTTGGCGGTCTGGATGGCCGTGGCCAGCGAGGCACCAAAGTCGTAGCGGTTAGCAAAGGCCTGGCCGCTAGGGGCAGACAGACGGCTCGGCAGGTTATCGCTGGGAATGCTGGTGGTGCTCTTAACACCACGCAGGCGAAGGCCAGCGGGAAGAGCGTCATCATCATAGTCATCAAGGGAGCTATCAAAGCTGAGCTTGCTCCTGCTACCAAAGTCATCGGCACCGATGGGAGCGAACTTGGGCTTTGGTGCCGCAGACGAGTGGTTGGAGCGACGGTTACTCTTGGGCAGGCCGTTCACGGTACGAGAAGCAGCGCCGATAACACCCTTCTTGCCGTTGGTCGGGAGAGCCTTCTTGCGGAAGTCAATCTGGAAGTTCATGCCGTTGTTGTTGTCCCAGAACTCCTGGCCGTTGACGTTGTACCGGATGCAGAAGTAGAGCGTCTTGGACTCGAGGTTGGCCATGTCGGAGAGCTTAATGGTGAAGTTAAAGCGATCCTGTCCGAGAGGCGACTCCGAAGGCACGATCTGGCTCATGTACTCGGCCGAGACCTCAGAGGTGGTCTTCCAGTAGTCCAAGGTGAACCGGCAAGTAACGCTCTTGTGGAAGGCCAGGTTGACCACCGCGACCGACCCTATCAGGCACTTTTGGTCGCTAGATAGCCAAACACGTTCCAGACGCACAGGCTGCGCCCTGCGAAGTGGTGTATCGGCGGGGAAGTTGGACAGGACGAGCTCCCACTCGAAGGGAGGCTGACGCGCTTGTGATTGGTCGTTCGCATTCCCGTTCCCATTGAAAGGGTACTCGGTGTCGCTATCATAGCTATCGACCGGCGATGAGCCAGCACTAACGGCCAACGGACGGTCGACCTGCAAGAAATGGCGAACATGTTCGAGATGCGAGTCAAAGTGGACAGCCTTGAAGGTGGGTGTGCCAGGCATACTGGAGGGTCGTCGGCGAGAGGGAGGTCGCAGAGCAGGCCGCACGAGCTCACCCGACTTCTTGCGCACCATGGGGGGCTTTCTTTGCCGCTCTTCGTCCGTGTCCTCGTCCGATCCTGTCAGCGAGGTTTCCATAGACTTGTTCAGCACAATGTTGGACTCGGTGGCGGATCGGTTGTGGGAGAAGCGGCGGTTGGTGACTCCGTTGGTGGCGTCCTGCTTCTGCTGCATGTCGGCAATGGCCTTGGCCTGGGACGGCAGTACTAGCAGGTCGCCGGCATCGGGCCTTGTCTTTTCCTTCATTTCGGCGATGATGGGCTCGGGGATATCGGTGCGGTTGTTGGGCGAGCACGAGCGGTGAACGGGGATCTGGCTGATGGCGTCCTTGAGCTCCTTGAGGTTCTCGATGGTCCTGCCACGCTGCGTGTCCTCCTTCTTCATCTCCAGCTGACCCTCGTCTTCACTAGCCGAGTCGGGCGGGGAGATGACGGCACCGGCGGGCATGCCCTGCCTTTCGCCCGTTATTGGTGGGGGGGACTGGCGCACGATGCTGTTGAGGGCCATGATCTTGAGATCCTCCACGGTCGCCGACGGCGACAGCTCGTTATGCTGTGCGGGTGCCGGGGCCGAGGGGGTTCGTCGGTGCTTCATAAGATACGACGCCGATCGCGGGAGTGCGGGCTTGGTGGATGATGTTGGCGAGGTGGGGCCGCCATTGTGTTGTTGTTGGTGGTGGTGGATCGAAGATCTCCGGCTCTGGCTTGGTGAGGAGGGTGCCGACGAGGCCGGAGACCTGTGCGAGGGTGGTGTGTAAGGCATTCTCTCCCGCGATTTGTGTGTGGTCGTGGGGAGGAGTACCGGAGATGTCGTCGTCGTCGTCGTCGAGCGAGTTCGATGGCGACGAGGAGAGGAAGCGAGTGTTGCCGGTGGTGATAAAGATACGTAGAGTGGAGCGAGAGAAGACGAGGTAGTCGGAGTGTCGAGCCTAGTACATGGAGGAATGTACCAAAGCGTAGGAGCGGGAGGCGGCCTCGACGGGTTTGGTGGCGTGGGAGAGGGGGTTGTTTCTTTGTCGACGACGGCGGTGTCAAAGAACCAAGGTCCCAAGAGATCCACTTCTAGAATCGAAGAGGAACTGGATTTGGTAGCTGCAGTTGCCGAAAGAGGTGAATGGTTAGCGGTTGCCCGTTTGCTAGTCTTTTTTGTCTATTGAAGGAAAATCTAAAGGTATTATGGTCGCGCTGTATATGCAATTAAAAATTGAAAAAAGAAGAAGGGGATGAAGGATGCGGAGAAGAAGGAAAGGGTTGTGGAGAGGATGATTTGGGAATGACGGATTCAAAGGCAGATATCATCAGTTCAGGGCAGCCACCCACCCATGACTATGGATCGATGGAATGGAGTTCCGGACTGGGGAGGGGGGGTGGTATGGGTATGGGCGCACTTGCTGAATGCAAAGTGAACCAGGTGGAATGAATGCGCACACACGGGCACCCGACTCACACTGCTAAAGTGCTGAGTGCTAAGTGCTGAGTGCTGTCACCACTAGTGTAGCTGTCTGACTGAGACGCCGCGCTAGCGATTGATTGACTGACGGACTGCGTGGATTGGGCTGGGCGAAAAAACTGGAATGGCGAAAAACAAAAAAAGGCCGGGCGGGCTCTTCCCGCTCAATTGCCCCTGGTCAGGTCTGCCTGCTTGATTGATTGATTCATCGGTCTCGGAACTGCCCAGGACCTGACTCCAGTCCCAAGCAAGCTACGATCCGAAGCAGGGCAAGGCAGAGCAGCCCGAACGCTACTACTGTAAACTGCAGGGGGTGGTGGGGAATGGGAATGGGACTGGAGTGGGAATTGATAGGGTAGAGGTACGTAAGGTGTAGTGGATATCGTGTGTCGGGGGAGAAGGACCCGACCACCACCAGCCAGCCAGCCAGCCCACCACGGACCACAGCTACTAAAACAGGGCTGGGCGTTGCTGCGACGGGACCGCTGCTGGGCTGTGACACCGCTGGGCTGCCCGTGACACAATCAATGTCGCGACAAGAGGGACGGTGGTACGGTGGTGGCCGGGTGTGGGCGGGAAGAGATAACGGAGTGGAGCCGTGCTGTCTCTGGGTGGTGGTGCAGTGGCAAAAAAGAATCCGTCCGATGTCAGAAGGATCAAAGTGTGTCTGTCTTCCGTGTCTTGGCGGAGTGAGATAGGCGAGCGGCGGAGGCGTGGGTGTGTTGTGCTGTGGTGGTTGGCTGCTTCTGTTTTTCTGTTCCATTGAATCCAGGCAGGGCAGGGCAGGGCAGGCAGGCAGTATGATGGATGGATGCGTGTTTGGGGGTTTGAGGGACGGGCGGGAGTGAGTGAGTGCAGTGAATGAGGTGACTTGGGTAGAGTGTCGGGTGCACTTAGGTGGTCCATGCATTCCACTTTGGGGCAGCGGTGCAGTAAAATGTCGCCCTGGACGCAGTGGTGCCAGTGGTGCCGTCGGGTGCAAGTGCAGTGGCAGAGCAGGCTAAGCGATTGGTGCAGAAGGGGAACCATGGAAAGCTTGTTCCTGATTTGCTGACCAGAAAAACAGCCCAGACCCGCCCACTGGTGTTTTTTTCTCTCCTCCGTTCCATGTTCCATTCATTCAGTTCTGTCAAGAGAGATGTGCCCACTTACTTGAGGTTAGCCGCACGGCTTGGCGGTAAAGCCGTCCGTCGTATTGATAGAGGACCGGTTTGAGGATGATGAGGATGATCAAAAGAGGACAAGAATGCAAAAAGTGACCAACACAAAACCACGGCAATATTCCAGCAACGAGGTTTGTGATTGACTTTTTTTTTGCAAAAAAAAGTGTCTCTTTTTTTCTCTTCTTCGCAATCGCACTCGGTTCTACCAGAGAGTCGAATGTCGTCGTATGTCAGTCGATCGATGGAGGCGAGGCTCTCGTCAGTGTCGATCGGAACCGGCGGACAAAGGAGGATGAGGATGATGTGAAGTCTTGGGACGGGAGACTAGTCCAGGGACCCAAGATGGTAGGCGGTGAAGAGATCGGTGTCCTGTCGGGAGGGGGGTCGCGAAGGGGGGGTTTATGTCGACTTCGATATCGCTTATTCGACCTTCTTCGTTGTTTCTCACTTATCGCTCCTTTTTCCAAGCTCTTGCTGTCTGTCTGCTTTTCCCCAAACAACAACAATGCAATGATCCAGTGTGTTTTTTTTTTTTGCTCTTTTTTTTCCAAATGCCTTCCAGTGAAATGCTGATGATGCCGATGAGGAGAGTCGATGGAATGTCGAAAGGGGGGGTATCCCAAATGTATCGTTCGCCAATGGCCAAGCTCGGGGACGGGAGGAGGAGGAATGGATAGGGGGAGGGAAGGAACCAGATATAAATCAATGGTCCTGCTATCAAAGTGAACAAGAAGAAGAAAAAGAAAGTAAACACAACAGAGGTGTTGGTTTACAAGACAAAAGAGAGGAAGAGCGGGAGGCACTTTGGTGCTAGAGGAAGCGGAGCGGCTGCTGGTTTTGAATCATGGGCCCCCGTCACTTTTTCGACCGGCAAGCGAGCGAGTCCCCGTCCAGGTCCATGTCCGTTCCTCACTCCAAGGAATGCGACTTTTCGTCTGTGTGTGTGCCGTTCCTTGGGAGGAGGAGAACGGTTGACGACGGGACCGGGACCAGGACCAGGGGCCAGGACGGACAGGGGGAGGGAACGGGGGAGGGGTGAGTTCCAGTGAGGAGGGCGTGTGTCTTGTTTCTCGACAATGGCCTGTCTCTGCTTCAATGTCCCCATGTCCCTGTACAGTCAAACACGGTCTTGTTCTGGACGGTGTACAGCAACAAACCGCACTGCAGTTCGTATGTATGTATGCTACTACCTTAGCTCCGTCTTCTCTCCAGATCCATCCAGTGGGAGTTGATGTCGGTACCTCCAAAGTGCATCTCTTGTCATTTCCGCCTTGAATGTGCTGTTGTTGCTGTTGCTGTCTGCTGTGCTTCCTCCCGATGGGCAGCAACGCTCTGCTCAGACTCACTTGTTCATGTCCCTGTAGCAGTTGGGCATGCTGCGACGGAAAAGTAAGCAGAGCTCAGGTCCGAAGGGAGGGAGGAAAAACCAAAAAAAAAAAAACGTGCCAGGCTGAGATGTCTCTGCCGGTCAGGGCAGTTACCTGCCTCTACACCAGTAGCTCACACACGCCGGAAGAAATGAGCGGGCGCGTAAGTAGCGCATTGTAGACAGTGCTAGAAGTGGAAAGAGAAAACCAAAACGCAAAAATGACTTTTCTCCCACAACTCTCTCCGTTCTGTTGGAAAAGCGATGCGGCACAGTTACGGTCATGATGTAGAGATGGTTTCGTACAGGTACTAACCTACCTCCCCAATGTACCTTGCACCTGCTGCTAATAATGCTGCTGCTCCTACTGCTCGCGCTACTGCTGCTGCTGCTGCTGCTTTCAGTTATCTTGGCTGCATGGCCTCGCTTGTATCCATTTTAGGTTAGCAGCACGGTGATAGGTGCTGTAGTTTACATATATAATAACCGGTGGAGACTCATGATGCATGAATACATAAGGTACGCAGTAGTCTAGATGGCTTTTGTGAATTTCAATGGGACCATGGGCACTTGGGCGGCCACTTCCTCAAGCAGCAAAAGTTCAGTTTGGACCAACTTCTTGGTGACCTTTTGTCGAGTGCTCCGTTTTAATCTTGAAAACGGTTTAGTTTGCGGCGTGTGTGTAAGCCTCCGGTCTTAGTACTGTCCCGTCTTGGCTAGTAGCACTGTCCGAGTTCTTGTGTCTCCCACCCTCCAACTTTTTGCTCTCAACATCCAACATTGTGTGTGTACCGCCCAACGGTTCGGGAAGGGTCTCAGCTTTCTTGCTGCTGGAATTTTGATGGTTCTTGTTCGGGTGGTTGACCCTCCTCAAGACAACCTCCGATTTTTGCTCCGGAGTCGGCTCAGCTGGCTGTGAATCCCCACGCTTCCAGTTCCTGCCCCCTTTTTTGCCGTGTGCTGTGATGTGATGGCCCGCCGTGGCTGGGGAATGGCAGGAATGCGCACAAAAGGGAATAAAGCCCTTCCATGGTCGGCACCACGCTTTCATCAATCGAAGCTGTCTTATCTTTCTTCTGATCAAACTCTTATCGGTTTCGGGTTGAGATGTGGTTACTTATCCCTCGCTTCAATTGCCTCAGGTCCCGTCGCTCAGTCATCGTTCTAGAAAATGCGAAGGAGCTGAGATGAGTCGCCCTCCCGCTCAACAATGAGTTCCCGAGGCGACCACGCGTGTTCTATCATCACCAAGGATTGTTTCTTCCGGCACGAACGACAAAGACCTTTTTCAATCTCGGCTTCATGTTTTTCATCGACTTCGGAGTTGCTTACCGAGTAAACGTTCCTTCGCGATGACCGACGTGGGACCACGACTGCACGCTTAGGACTTTGACTTTTGAAGAACGGAGGTGAGATTCAGGCACAGAGACCTTGGACCTTGAGCTGAGAGATTTGACGACAGAAGATCTGAGACAGTTCGCGGGTTCGAGATGTTCTGCTGCTGCTGCTGCTGTGAGTGAGTGTATGAGGCAAGTCAGACACCCGGTGAGAAACATGCTGCGATGCTGTGCTACCATGGCGCCATCAATTGTCTTTGAGGCGTTCGTTCATCATCATCAGTTCATGAATTCTAGACTCCACTCCCAAGTCGTCGCCGTGTTGATGATTTCGATTGATGAATACTACACCACCATCTCAGCGCAAGATAATAGTGTACATATCGGAATGTATATTCCTTGGCACAATATTGTCGATATTTGATGATGGGGGTCAGCGCGGGAGGATTGTCGCCGGTGGTAGTGGTGATGGTGGTGAGAACTGCCCGCTGCAATGTCAAGTTCAAACAAGATGTCGACCTTGTTGCCCATGTCCGCCAAGCTTTCATCCCACCACAAAAACGGTATCAAGACTGTCAGAATCGACGCTGATTGGCTAAAAGTAACTCTGAAAGAGCCGCGCACGGTACCGGTAAGCCTCCAATCCCATGGATGGATGCTCCGGATCAGGGAGCTAGCAGGACCGGCGCCTGGGAAGTTGAGAAGAATGACGTCGGCAGGGAAATTGGCTGCAGGCATCCCCCATCAGCACTCGAGAGGCTTGAGGTGAGGTGGTGAGCCCCCCCGGAGAACAGAATGAAAGGCTCAATCAACAACACCAACAAAAAGCAGAGACATTTGACATTGGAAGGACAAAGTTTGGTGTGTCTCGAACCAGCCCATGGTAAACAAAGAAGGAAGAAAAAACAAAAAAAGGCGCTTAATCCATGCCATGAATATGGAATGTTTGCATATCTTCATTCAGGCACCTTTTCTTCTTCCTAATCCTTCAATTAAGGATGCGGGTGCTACTTCCGGTGCGGTTTTGGATTGGAATTGAGCCATCAGTCAATGCCCTTCAGGTGCCTGTCATGTCGACGTGGGGGTGCATCTTTTGAATACACATGTATGTCTCTTGAGTTGATGCTTCTCGAGTCTCGACTTTCAAAACAAAAATGTTGCAGCACGCGAGACGGGCGTCAAGCGTCAAGCGTCAAGCGGCAGCGCTTAGTTACGAGCCATGACATTCATCCATCGTCGATCCATCCATCCATCCATCCATCCATCCATTCCTTGTCTGCGTCTTTTTCCCAGCCCACAATGTGTAGGGAAGTCTAATTTTGAATTTTAACGAGAAGCGGCCTTGTCGTCCAGAGCCGAGCCGGTCCGGTCCGGGACTCCCATGTCTTTTCAGCTCCATCCCCTTTTTTCGGCGACAGTTTACGCGAAAAGGCGAAACATCAGCCCAGCAGCGCTCCCCCCGCCTAGACTCCTAGATGTATGTAAAGGATCGGAATCGAAAATATATCATCAGTAAAGCAACCTCACATCGGGAGATCACCTCAGTCATGATCGACCCATCAAACACAAAGAAGCGAGCCTTCATCATGATGTTGTCGAGCTGCCATCACATCATGCACTGCCAGCTACACTTATATGTACCGGGATGCTGAATGCGATTCCGGCATTGGGCACAATGTAGTTGGTGAACTCACCTTTTCATGCATACCTTACATACCTCTACGTATGCCTTGCCTTGCCTACATGAATCAATGTTCAACACTTGGGCGATGCGATGCGATGTCATGTCCTTGTTCGCTTCCGATACGGATAGGTAGATTGACTGGGATGAGCGGTGCACAATAAGCTCCTCCTAGTATGCACCACTACCCATGGCAAACCTCAGAATGCGCTGTTGTCGTAGTAGGAACTTTTGAGATATCGTTGATGCTGGTGTTGATGTATCAAGATAACACTACCGTATTGTCATCAAGGCCATAGTATAGTGAGTGTAAAGCACTGTAGCTAAATGCTCAGCATCCCGTTTTAACTAGTGTGGAATACGCCTGGCCGGGCGCACTTCTTTGTCGTTCCACCCGACTGGTTCTAGGTACTAGCTCAGGCAAGCCCAGGGCCTATGGCGATTACCGTTTTGTCAGATCATGGGCGAAACACACACACACAGAGAGAGAGACACTTCGCCTCGCCTCGCCTCGCTTCGAGCATTCTCTAACGTTAGCGTGCCGATTGGCGTCGATAGAGTTTGATTTGAACGATTGATAGAGTGCTGCGTTCTTCGTCAACTCACAGGCTACCTTAGCTGTATGCTGCGCCCTGTTGCGTGCGGCTGATGCTGGAGGGTGCTCGATGCAATGTGTTGAGCGGGACCTCAATGCCAGCTGTGAAACGTCAACGCAGAAAGGCCCGACTGCTACTCTTCATTATCGCTCGAATCGTCGATGGAAACTGTTTCAGTTTTCTTTTTTTAAAGAGAGAGAAACCCTAAACAAAAGGAACTCAACGTCATGGCCGCCAGTGGCCGCCAGCAAAGTCGGTCTTGGTGTTTGTTGAGTGATGCCACGGCTTGTTGATGTGCTGACTCGCCAAGCCAGCCCAAGCATTCAAATGCCCGCAATGCTTACGATAAGGCTAACAGATCCTGGTGGCCCATCCTTGTGGTGGTCTTTGGTCGATACTAATCCGCTATTTTCTTTCAATCGATACGGGCGCCGTTCGCCATGTTTTGACTTGATTGTGTTCAACAGCCTTTCGACAGTCAATTGATAACGGTGCATGTCTCTGAGGAACCAAGTCGGTGGTTTTTCCAGGGGCGTTTTTACACCACCACAGCCAAAAGTGTTAGTCAAGAAAACCCAATGGCTGAGAGGTCGACGTGTGATGTGGCAACAGATCGTCAGGTCTCTGAACACAGAGACTGTTCCAAGGTTTCCATTTTCGGAGCACCCCCCACTTATTTCCCCTCACTAGATCAGGGCCGGGCCTCTATTGCGGGGAGGCTAGAAGTGTTGGTGGTGAAACGGCGCCATTCAGAACCGTCGACAGAGTTGCAACCAAGAGGAACGGCAACACCGTGGCGGATCCAGCTAGTGTACAAACTTTTGCAAGTTCGGTTCCGCTGCGTTGTTGGTGCAATGGCTTGGAAGCCTTTCGACCAACTACAACGCCCGCCAATGTCCTAGTGGTAGATTTGGATTCCCCCAGAACGTTCGAGCTTCGGCGACGGCACCTTGGAGGCCTGTGTGGCCTTTTTTCTCAGCGACACGAGATAAGGGGCGGGTTCGGACTGCGTACCCATTTCGAACTCCTACTGCATAGCACACTGGAGCAGGCCGAGGAGCAAGAACGGCACTGCGAATATGAAATGGTCCCAGCCAAAACTCCCGGCCTTGTGTTGAAACTTTCGGAACTCGAAACCCGGCTATTGGTAATAACTGTCGTTCTTGGGTGTTCCGGGTATCTAACGTATGGTCTTGTCGACTGTTGACTGTAGTGCATTGTCCATCCATCCGTCGTGACTTTCTTTCAACATTTGGTTGTCAACTCAACTGGTCCACGTCAGTTAAACATCACACGAGGGACACCGCACGTTCCAAGGCTCAACCGGGCCGGTTCCCATTTGCAATCCAGGTATCCTCCAGTGATCTTGTGCTCCAGTACTGCACTGCCCGAGTCGTTATCCCCCGTACGTGGCCCAGTCGTTATCGTCCAGTAATTCTTCATAGAGATATCGCCAATCCCGCCCTTTGCTCCTCGTGCTCCTACCGGTCTACACGTACGCCGGGCAGGACGGATTAGGCATGCCTTACCCCGTATACCCCGTACTTTTACCCCAGGAAATTGTTTGCTGTGTCGCCGCCGCGTTGACTTACATGATCCCTACGCATGCATACATCCGCTGGCGCTCGTGGAGAAGGGCTTTGAAAACATCTGTGTCGTCAGTTCGCTGCCGGTCCAGCAGAAAATACGTAGCTGAACAGCACCTCGCTGGCTGGTGAGACATGGTGGTTGACGGTGGTTGGCGAGGTCGGCATCTTGGGTGCTTGGGTATACCGTATGCCTTGCAGCAACCACCGTGAGATTCGCTACAGGCCGTCAGGTGGGTATTCGGGTATTTCAAAGTCCGCCGTGAACAGTCGTCAGAAAAAAAAAGAGCTCAAAAGCTCAGCTGCTATACACGTGTTCGTCAGTGTCTTAATGGTACCTACTGTCTTTGAGTGTCTTGAAATGTGGAGATGGCCCAGGTTCCCGAGCGCCTTCAACCTATAGCAACTGCAGGTCAGTTTTTTTTCCTCTATTGGTAACTTTTTCTGACGAGAGCACCGTCGGTTGTCTCTGCAACTGGTGGCTGGTGCCCGGGTGACCATTTGGGCTTGCGTTGCGGCTGCATGGTGCAGTTGTTTGAGGGAGTGGCTTTTATTTTCCCCGGTCGCCGTTGGTGACAATGTTTCAAGCTGGCCTGTGGTTAGCTGGGGCGAGCCGCTTACAATCTTTGTTCCCTGCCGTCGCAGTTGTAGAAAATACGACGGTGATCCACTAGCCACCTCATCGGCTCTGGTTGATGCCCAAGGTTCAAGAGACCCGGCAGATACAAGCTTTGATAGATCGTCATTGTCGTCGTTCTCGGGTACAATGCTGAGAGGGGCGTGTGCTGGATTGAATGCCGTGGAATGCGTGGTGATGATCACACAGAGGAGGTCCGGCGGTTGAGAGAGGAAGACAAACAAACATGGCAACATGGGATTGAAACAGTCGGACCCTTTGGGTTTGGGGCCTGACAATCCCTCTGAAGCGACGATCCATTCGTCCACCGAATACAAGTAGCGGCTGAAACAGAGCCGCCTGTCGCACCACCCACCACCCTTCCATTCATTGGTGCTGACGTTTATCTCGACGTCGTTGGTCCCCACATTTCTCTCTTTGCCACAACGACGGAGGATGAGGTCGACAACGACGAGGCCGACGATGATGAGCAGAAGAAGTTGCGTAAGAAAGGCGGAGTTTTATCGAAAGCCCAAGGCAAGCAGGGAATGCCAAGCTGAAGTGAGGTCAAAGTCTCGTCGATCTTCCGTCCGTTTCAGTTCCACTTGGCTCTTTGTTCCGTGAGAGGGACTTTTGCCGAAACTACCTAGGCCAAATGCAAGTCCCGAGACTCCGCAAAACGGCCGCGGCCGACGCGCAAGCAACAACAACAACAAATGGACAGTACACTACTTGTTGCGAGGAAAGAAACATGTAAGACAGCAATCTGGAGAAATGGCAGAGTTGCAGAGATTCCCATGTTGGATGTTTGTACCACCACAGCATGTAATGCCCAACGAAAAAGCTTTTGGTGTCGCCGTTCTTGGGTCCGCCCTATCACCGCATCTTTCAGTTATCACCCCTTTCATGGCACCCAGGCAAGATCCTAGCTACCCATGCTGGGCTGGCATCTGGCATCCCATATCCACTGGACTAGCTGTAGCTTGTATCACGGAGTGGACCTGCGAATGGGGTCGCGATGGAGTCCCGGCTTGATGGTCCTTTGGAACCTCGGACCGGCAGTCTGACATGGCGATGCCCTCCTTTTCTTTTTCTTTTGGTTGGAAGGGTATCATGGTATTTTTCGGATGCTGGATGGGCGCCGCTGTCAGGCTACACGGCAGTCACAAGGCAACAACTATGTGAGAGTGCACCTAGCAGATTCGTCTACCTCGTTCCATCACGACCTGTTATCTCTTCGCCTGCTCTTTTTCCTGGTTATGATTCGCTACGGAGGGGAGTGGGTGGCTCTGCTCAGGAGATGGCGTCCGTCTATCTTGGCGATCCTCGCTGCCCTCTCGTACTTGTCCGGTTCGCTCGGATGGGTTTGTGGGCTTGGGCTCTGATATCGTAGGATCGGTCATGGTGAAGTCGCGGATTTCCTTGGAAGATGCAAGAAATGCCTGCGGTCGCGGGATTCGGGAAGATAACGCCATTGCCGCCGCCGCCGTCAGCCTGTCAGTCATACAGACATTGCTGCCCGAAGGCGACCGTGACGGGAGCTACTCGTGATTACGGGCCGTAGGATCGTGTAGTGTAGATTAGAAAAGTCCGATGGATCGCGCCGGTTTTCTTCTGGACTTTGTCTCGATTTGTTCTGGACGATATGGAGCTTCGTGGGAGGGGCTTGTACGGTAAGTAGTGGTCGAGGCAAGACGGTGTCGTGCTGGCCTTCTTCAACTTGGTGCCTCCGTTTTGGATGCCATCCTGTTCGACACACACAATTGTGACAAGTATCGAAAAAGATTCAACGAGGTGAACCATCAGGACCCTGAAAAAAAAACAAGATCAACGAGCCCTGCATGAGATTCGCGAGATACTGCAACCCAATGTTGCAAACAAGAAAGCCAACGGCGGCATGAAGCTTGGACCATGCCGTGAATCCAAGGTGAAGCTGCCCCGCCGTCACTTCAGTTCGCTTCCCTTGCTGCTCAGGGTTGTGAGCTTGTGGGGTACGTCAGGTGTCAGGGTTAACCGTGGTTGGTCCGTCTCTTTTGCAGAAAGGGAACTGCGGGGCTCTTGTCACCTTGCTGACCTGTGCCCTTTGCGTACCTGGTCAGCACTGCAATCGCTACGGTACGGTGAGCGCCGAAAGCGGACTCAACGAGGTTGAACCCTTGAGGGAACTGAACTCTGGTCACCGCCAAGCAGCAAGGGAGGTTTCCTGAAGGAAGGTGCGTCACGATGTCTCTTCATCTGGCATTGCATCTGATACCGCATTAGTTTGGACATCAATGCAAGATGAAGCGCAATAAGTAACGCTTCTTCTTGGAGTTTAAATCTCTCGGGACTTTGATTCGTTCTCACCGTGTCTTTCTTGTCTTGCTCGGCTGACTTTTGCGATCGTGACCAGATTCTGAGCACGTTTCTCATCTCGTCGCCGACCCTGATGAACACACCTCGTTGGCGTTCACGTCAGCAGGGCAGCGACATTCATGCAAAGCAAGCATCTCCGGTCCCACGCGGCACTTTCCCTGCGTTTTCGTTGCTGTGGCATTCAGTTCCCAGCCGCGCCAGCCTTCTGGGCTGGATGCTTCAGTCTGAGTCCTCTCCGTCGCCCCGTCGGATTCACTCACCGTGCGCCTTGTTCACCGTTTTGGGAGGGTCGGTACCTCTACCTACTACAGCGCACCGTGAGTTTGCTCTTCAATGTCAAACATTGCAGTGACCATCTCCGGAGCCTTACATCGCCGACCTCGAGTTACCAAAGAGACGGGACCATCAAGTTTTGGCAAGTTAACGCCACCAATGTGCGACCTACATTTAATGGTCCCGCTCAGCCTTATGAGTAGCCAGATACCGTCACTGATAGGTCGTGATAGCAGCGCTATATGATCGGTACATCTGTCTGACTTTCTTTAATAGATAGGAAAATCGTGATTTATTAGCTAAGTAGTTTGTTCTATATGAAAGTGATTGTGTATGGTTATTCCATGTTTCAATACTGAACACGGCACGGATGGTTATGTCTGCTGTCAGTCGACACTACTAGACACTCAAAGACATGGAACATACTGTAACATTGTCATTGCGTCAATGCAGTCTTGAATAGGTGTCTCTATAGGGGAAGAGATGCTGTGGTAGCATGTTGGTCCCTGAATCCGGAATGCCCTGGCGTGTCCCTAAATTTCACTTAATGCGGTTCTGATGCGCCCCTTGCAAAGGCGCATTATTGGTGCAAACATTCATCATCGTCTTGGTCTGTGATGGAAACATGCTGGACCAACTGCCCAGAATAAGATGCGGTCCTCATCGAGCACCGGCCGGGACATGCCCTCCCTGGAAGTTATATGGAATGCCGGAATGTGGAAAATTGGCCTAAATCCAGGAACCAGGCACAAGACATGGTTTGTCGGGGTTAAACACCACAAAAAGGCATCACGAGACCATTTTCACTGGCACGTTTGACTTCACTTCATGGAGTCTCTGCCCAGCTCCCGCCGGTACAGTAGCCTTTTGTCTGTAGCGCGCCGTCCCTCCCTTCAAACGGAACCTTTCCTTCTCGTCCGTCCCCTCTTTATGACTGCACCTCTTCCATAACTCAAGTACTGTCAAGTGGAGGTTCAGCTTACTGCGGTTACAGGCGACGGAGCTGCCTTCCACTTCCCGTCAACTGAAGCTTTTTTAAAAAGTGGGGGTCAAATTGGGGGCCCACCCCGCGTAGGGCGCGCTCGGATTTTCTGGGTCACTACGTCCCGTCACTGCATAGAGGTACGTACCTACCTAATTGCATCCGCGCGCGTCTCCATCTCGAATTCCGTCCATTCCATTCCGTCCTCTCCGGTTCAACATCTCGAGTCTCGACACCCTGTCCGTCTATGCCGCCGTCTTCACGATACCCGGACCTCCGTTCCCAAGATCCCAGGACCGACAAGACCGACCAAAACCACTCGTACTGTGTACTGCGACACACTGTCTGTGCCGTTTTCCCTTCCTAGTGCAGTGTACATACTTGTCCACTTTGTTTCCAATGCTTGTCTCCTCTTTGGTTCTTGGTGGACTGGAGAATCCACTCCGACGGCAGATCAGCGTCCAGCATTTTGCAACTGGAAACAAAGTCTTTTTTTTTTTTTTTTTCTTAATTCCACTCTCATCGACGATTCGTTCGAGAGTCGAGGGAAATCCGCCAGCAGTTGAGCCGCCTCAGTCCACTATTTATCACGCGCTAATCTTCTTCTCCCTGTCTGTCCTTGTTTGATTGCTTTGTTCGTTTTTTTTTTTCCAGTGTGCCCTAGGCTACTACGCTAGAATCAGATACCAGGCTAACAAAGACCGTGTTCGTGCACAAGGTTGTCGTTGGGACAGAGAAAAGTCAGAAAGATGCCACTATCCCACCATGCCTCCAAGCGACCAAGCGACCAAGCGAGGGGTTGACTGATTGGCCAATGTATAATACCTGTACATCATAATGTTTGCGAATTCCGGAGATCCTATCGCTCAGCCTACAACCCTTGAGACATTCTGGCCTCCCTGCCCTGGCGCCTCCTTCTCTTGGCGTCACGCTGCCTGGCTTGTCGCGGCGGAGTTTAGAAAAAGATAAGCCATCGCTAAACCTCGACAGTAACCAACAAAGACAGACGTCGGACGCACACAAAAACGGACGGCACAGTAGACGCCAGAGCTCTGTATGCCTGGAAGCTCAACAACAGCAGCTGGCGCCTTACCCCTCGAGATTCACTTCTCTGTTGTTGACCAACAAAAAAGGAATTGTCCAATCAACAGCCAAGCACGTGGTGAACATCATGATTGTTGTCTTCCTTTGCGTCCCGACCAATGATGGTTCTAAACCAGAGATTCGGATCTTTCAAAGCCTTGCAAGTGCATGCTTAAAAGCAAAAGACCAATGTCAGGTCATGCTGCTGGCGTCAGCCCCGGGATGCAATGGTGGTGAGAGGATCTGTATGTAAGTTGGCAATTCATGAGGATCGCACACAGCTTGTCGTACACTACAAGTTGGACTCAGCCCACTGTCCGCTGCGGCCATCCTATCATCAAGCATGATCATCATGATGTCCTGCAGTGGCGCCGCAGAATTATGTACCACAGTATGCGTGCACGATCCGATCTCTCCTCACACCGGGGGTGAACTACGCGGGAGTGCGTGTTCAAGGTGAGCAAAAGTATTCTCCAGATGTTGTTTTGCTCCCTAGAAGGCGTGGATACTATTCTAGCCCTCCCCCTCTTTCACATTAATCTCGGTGGAGTGAAAAGACTGAAAGCGCCGGCAAGCACACATAACGGACATTTTCAGTGATCATCACTACTATGTTCATCATCGGCAGTCGTCACGGTCATCACCACGTCGTTTTTGATAATATAAGCGGAGTAGACATTGTCCCCAACATCCTTGTGGTTGAGTACCTACACTCCTCCCCGCTCGAGGACTGGAGCATTATGTAGTGTATTAGGAAGGCGCAACGGTATCATCTGGACTAGAGGTAGGTACCTAGCTCCATGCCATTGTGCCCGATATCAAAAACGACATGTAGTACCAACAACATCCTTCACTTGGGGCGCAATAATGAACGTGCTCCATAGCGCCCATATCATACCGGATTATGGGTCAGAAACGGAGGGGGGGAAATGAGTGATACATGGAAAACCAGGATGAGAAAACACCAGACCTTACTAGCTCGTACTACTGTAGCAGACATCTCTGGGGCTTGAAGGTAGGTGGAAAAGTAGAAAATGCTCCTCTCTTGTCATCAATGTCGATGCGAGCAATGTGCCCATCGGCCCACCTAAAAGCACGACTGACCCAAACAGGCAAGTGGAAGTTTTGCTATTGGTTGGTACCTTGGCTTTTTCGTCTTCGTTTTTTCCTTGGGCCGATCACAACCTGCTTGTAGACAGGCGCTGGACCCGATAAGGGATAGCACGATAAGAAAATCCGATCAGAAATCCGATCAAGCGATCAGAGTCAACAACGGAAATCAGGGACTTTCAGGGACTTCTAAAAAAAATTTGAACAAAAAAAGGCGTCAGGGACCTTTGTAAATCGATAAACACGAAAAGCAGGTACATTTTCATCTTGATTGTTTCGGCTTGGTCGTCTGTGGCGCTGGCAGCCAGAAGCGTGCGTGGGGATGCAGAATCTTGGAAAATCTTGGAATCGTGAGATCACTGCAAGAGCTAAGTTGCTCTGCCCCTTTTCACCTAGGTAGGTTCCCTAGGTAGCGATACCCGCGGGACCCCTAGCGGTCTTTTTTTATGGAGGGTTGCAGCTTGCGAGAGACGACTAAGTTAGGTAGGTGTGAGCCAGCCAGTCAACAGCGTTGTTGTCGACGACAAGGCTTGGGATTGGAAGTTGCGTGCCACTATCAAGCTAGGCGTGAGGAGGGGATGGACTGCGCTGACAATTCTGGGTGATTGAGCCGGCAGGCAAGAGTCAGTCAGTTCTCATTCCCCCGCCGTCGCCTGGTGTGAGTGCAGTGCAGTGGCCTGTTTGAGGCGGTTATTGCACTTGCAATTCATGGTGGAACGAAACGATGCTAAGCCCCAAGATGTTATGTCAAGAAAAGCGGGCTTGCACCATTCGTAACTACCGACTTTGCCCAGGCGAAGTGCCTAGGTAACTGACCATCGTGCCAGCGACGACGACGACGACTCATCACCAACAGAATTCACATACCCTGCAGTCATCAATAGTTTGCAACCCCCGTCTTGGTTTCTCTTTGTGCAAATCTTGGGGAGAAACTCTTCAAACATTCAGGCTGGGGGGGCTTAGGTACTGGAATGATGGGTAGGTAGGGGGGTTGGCCAAATTTGGGGCGTGTGTGGTTCAGTCAGCAAAACGAAAGTTTGTATGGGAAAATGATCCCTGCCAGCTAGCGGACTGTTTTTTTTGCTGTTTTATGCAGGTAGTTGGGGGTCATTCTAGTCTTGGCTGCAGGAAGAAGTATCGCGCTAAGGCAGCTGATGCAATGCAGCTCGGAAGGCTTAAAAGAGGAATTAATAGGCCTATGCAAGAGCATTTTGCTGTTTTCTATCTTAACGGGTCACCCCATGAAGATAGAGCATTTTACTACTTCCGCCACCTCACGGCGATAGTGCAACCAACACCGCGAATCACAACCCCGGTTACAACAACGCGTCCTTTAGCCCCCATCCTCGAGTAATACCTTTCTAGATGCTTTTTAGCTTTGTACCTTCGCCTACCCTTGTAAGAAGTCAGCAGAAATTCTGCTGACTGAACCAAACGGGCCCTTGGTGTTTGTTTCGTTCATCTGCTTGGAGTCGGGAGCTGTCACCGAATTCGTCTTAAGCGCGGCGACTATGTGTGTTAGTGCGGCCGGCAACGGGCGGCAATACCTTGTACTACGACAGGATTCAACGTTGGACCAATAATAGCGGAAGCAGGGATGATGGTTCCGGGGGTATGAATGGTTGCCTTAGCGACTTTTGTTAGTGTTTGTTGATGGACTTTAAAGTTCATCACCTGAATTTGAGTTTCACAATCAAACTTTTAGCGGGAGAAAAGGGGCCTCAGTGTTAGATAAGTCATAAATGGCTTGAAAGATGGTCATCCGGTAAGTTCGAGATCGATGGTACTGTACATCCGCGAGAGGGTTGCTCGCGGGGCACAGAGTAGGGGTAGCTTGGCCAGTACCGACCAAACATCAAAGTCAATCTCATACCTACGAGTATTGCACAAAACCACATCAATTGCATAACATTCACCTGAATCGTTGAATTTCCCCCGCCCTTTCTCGATCCAACGGAGGAAAGCCATTCACCAGGGGTAGACATTCCTGAATGCTACGCGCGCGATTTATGCTCTCCGGGATTCGAGTCCAGGCTCATCCATCCCACTTGAGCATAACGGAACATGCCGCGCACCAGCAAGCCACCCCGCCCCGCGCCTAACCCGGTAAGGGAGCCGCCGGCTGGAGCTTTACCTCGCCGGAGATACAAGGAAAGAAGCTGATACCGATGCTAACGTCCTTACGAATACCCCGTCCCGGGTTGAATAATCATAGCTCCGCGGGCTGTAAGAGTGGGCTCCCGCTGCTGAACTGGTAGAAACTATTGAAAAACTAACATGAAATACTACTACTGTACGGCATTGGAGAAGACGAAGCTGGAAGAGAAAAGAAGAGCATGAAAAGAACTAGGAAACTTGAGGAAGTATTCCGTTTTGATAGCGGCGGCGACGATTGCTCACGGTTGGTTACTGCATCGTTCGTACCTGCGCTTACTGTGACTAACTGTGACGGATGCGCCCGGTTCACGATAGTAGTCGTACCGGCGTTAATAGGTATCCAACATCGGCGGACTAGTTGTTCTTACTTTTGTTGTTGTAGTGTGAAAAGTCCTTGCATAGTTGCGCACAATGGAGTTCCGAGTGCGAGGCGAGGAACATCGGTCGCTTATGTACCGGCATCGCAGCTGTACCCCGCGGTTCCCCGCCTGGCCGGTCTTACCCCGGACCCCCGGATCAAGACTCCGGGGAAAACCCCGTGTGGCCCCGCGTTTTATACCGGCATTGTGGATGATGCTGGCATCGGTGAGAAGTCGGCGGCTTTTTGGAGACACGCTGTGGTGTGCGCCGAAAGGGACCGGGACTCTAGGGGGGAGTCCGTCGGAGCAAATATACGGATGCGGCAGGCGGTATCTTTTGGACATGCACGTCTGACAATTTCAGGTTACCATGTACCAACCCAACGACCGTGTCCACAGTCTGGCCGACTTGTGGCCGGCGCGAGCCTCGCCAGCAACATCGGGGACAGACCGGGGGAAGCGCGGGGGCCAGACGGGGTTGCAATTTGCGGCCCAACGGCGTGGACATGCGGGGGCGGCGGCCAAGCACGGGGTACACTCTGCGGGAAGACGGGACGGGCGGCTCCCGGACCCATAAAAACGCCGTGAACAAGTCCGACCCCGCGATTCCGCAAACCAAAACAACCACCCCCCCGGGCCGGCGTACATATATGAATAAAAGGAAAGTGAGTTCCCCGCAAAATGCAATGCAATGTCGTTTGTGATGAAGGATTTTCTCTTACAACCGTTCTGAGTGGTTCGGCATTCCGGGGTTGGAAATGCGGGCGGCACAACTAGGAAAAAAAAAAAAAAAAAAAAAAGAAAAACAAAAAAAAATGACAAGAGACTACGTTGTTGACAACTCATCTCACCACCGTTTTGACGAAATGTATTGCCGATTCACGTTGCTAGTGGTTCGCATGGCAATCGATCAGCAGTTTCCTGATTGTCGGTCTCCACGACACTGTGATTTTTTTTTTTTTTCGTTGTTTTGTTTTTAGCAATTTCAGCCTCGTACCGCATTCCATCCTACATACACTACATCCTATGACAAAGCAGAGAAATGAAGGCATATCCACACATGATGCCAATCTGGATCGCTCGATTGTTTCTGAGAGATCTAACTCGGTGAAAGGTATTTCCTGTTCCTGGCTAATTCCAGCATGTCTTCCTTCGCCGGCACGGTATTGGCTCGTTCCTGGCTTCGTGTTCCTGGATTCAGTTTGGACCTGGGAACATGGCGTGATGACAAGTTTAGCCAAAATAGGACTTGGTGGAGTCCATGTTGTTGTTGTCCCTTTGGCGGCCTTGTTGGAGATTGAAGAGCTCTCCTTTCTTTGGCTGTCTGTACGTTGAGGAGCGAGCATTGGACATTTTGATCTTCGAGCTGTCTCTTTCGTTTTCATCCAGTGCTTGTTGTCCTCGCAGCCGACAGCTCGGAGAGTGCATATCCCGGCGCGCAGCATCTCCAACTTTTTTTTCTTTCCTTCTCCAAGAGGTCACCATTTGGAGTGTAATGACGTAGGGCTATGTTTCAAAGCTGACCTTGCAATCGGCGTTTTTGGTGAGCAATCGTGGCACGTCCGGGATGGTTGGCCTGACCCTTGTGGATTGGCAATGGCTCAGCCGCTAGCACTGACTGGGATTAGGAAAGAAAGAAAGAGAGACCAAAGATAAGGTAACGAAAGAAGGCTAGTGCAGGCCAGCGGAGATAAGCAGGGCTCCACATGCTATCCATTGGCTAGGTCGGGTTCTAGCGGCAGGCAGGCGGGGGGCTCAGAGAGTGTGGAGAAAAACAAAAGAGCGCTAAGAGCTACAGTACCCCACTCTCTCCGCTGTTCCTTGCCAAGCAGTCGTGCCAAGCGGCCTGGGCCCCAAAAAGTGACTGCAGGGAAAAGCGGTTCCTCTCTCAGGCCCGGTCCCTGCTGTGCATCCCCTTCCGCCCTTGACTGCAGTGGGTGATTATCTAATAGCGGTGGATTTTGTCGCGAGTGGTGTGGTTTTGGAACTCGAACCACTCCAGCTTCTTTGAAGTTGCTGATTCTCTCGTGTTTTTCAGTTCATCCCGATATTGAAAAGTGTTCATAATACTATCTGACTCGCTTTTCATTACCAGCTCACTGCGTACATAGTAGTACTCAAGCTGTCGGGCTGGAGACAAAGTCTTGAAAACTCCGTCGGAAAGAGAGATACGCTTGATACGGTAGCCGGGCGGCACGGTGGCCGGATGGAAAGAGTCTGGGAAAGAACCTCCGGTTTTTTCATCAAGCAAATTTCCTTTGTGTTGATCGACAGTCAGACAGACCATTTTTTGTGTGTGGCTTCGAAAAAAAAACTTAATAGCCAATGAGAAGCCATGGAAAGGCCGCGGCTGCCCAATCATATTTGCTCACATTCCTCCTTTCTCCTCTTTTTTTTTCACCAGACGGGCTTGTTGCTTGCTGCGACGGAGTTGCTGTGGTCGCCGCCATCGAACCAGTCGTCAGAACAAAAAGACTGGGAAGAGTGGCATGCTATAAGTCCCCTGATCGTGGCCGGACTTTATCGAGTCCACCACTGTCAAGGTGAATCAAGGTGAAGATGGACAGTGTGTCCACGACGACGACGAGGGAAGGCTGTCGCAATGAACTTTGATAGAGTCGGCGTCGATGATACGTACAGTTTATGAGCACTGTCTTACCGTTCAGGCTGCGACGGTGAATAGCTGGACGGTCTGACGGTCAAGATCACCTCGCTTTCTGTGCCGCCAGCCGCCAAGCTGCTCGGGTCGACAAGATTGGCAGCTGCCGACATTACTTCAGTCTTTAGTGTAGGAGATCCGTCTCGCCAGTTGATCTCCCGCTTTTGATCAACCAGACTGCCAAACCTTATCTCAAGGTCAACGCTTATCAATTGGATCGGTTATTTGGATGTGTTGACTCCGCTTGGAAACATCGACTGATACCTACCTACACACCAGCAACCTCCATGTCGAGGGGAATTCCGAATGACCATGATCGTGTGAGGTTTTCATTTGATATACATCAATTCGATACACAATTCGTCCCCGCATCAGTAAAGAAGAAGAAATAGAAAAAAGCGTGGGGTCACCCCGCGGTTTGTGCTCGCGAATCTCGATCGAATGTGCATATCAAAAGTTGGAGAAAAAGTGGTGGTTGTGGCTTGGTGCAGGTTCGCAGGCGTTCCAGACCAGGTGATCTTCACTGGTCCAGCAGAAAGGAGGAGACGGCAGCTGGCAGTGTATATGACGAAGTACATATTCCATTGGAAGACGGAAGACGGCAATCACCGCGACTACGAGCTTCTCTACTTCTGGGTCGAGTTGTTGAATGGTTCGGCGTGGGGTTTTCCCAACTTTCGTTCCATTGGATGGGTAGGATCTTGTGCTGACAGGGAGGACGGACTGTCCAAAAATACCATGCCCGTTCCAACATTGAACGACGATATGCCAATGTTGGAAAAATATCGACAACGTTCCAAGTTTGAGCCAATTGCCATGGTCACGCTCAATCCTTCCCAACCCCACGCTTGTCCTCCCACCCTCTCTCCCACGCCGCCCGCCGTTTGCAAAGACGGCACAGCGTCTGTTGAACTACATCGGTCAAGGCCAAGGGAGGTCAGCACTGCCGCAGACAGTGTTACCGCAAGGTGAGCAGTTGTTGGCCAAAAGTCGCTTTTGCTTCCATCCTGCTAGCAACCTATGGGAGCAACCGGAAACCACCTTCCAGTTCAATTTGGAATGGGACGGTTTCGGCTCCTGGTTGACTGGTTGACTGGCTGGCTGGCTGGCTTGTCCTGGTCCTGGTCCCTCTTCGCTACCAGCCGCTTCTCGACTGTCTCTCGTCTGTTCAGCAAACTTCTCATCCCAGCATCCAATGAGACGCCATAGGCTATTCGAGCCAGGTAGGTAGAGCAAGCCGGGCTGACTGGTCGACTTCCAGCTCGCAGCTACCCCTACCTCCAGTCAAGCCAGCCTTTACGACACAGGCCGGATACGGATATTGGTGTGGTAGGTGAAAGTGTGAAGCAGGTAGAGGTAGGAAAGCAAAAGGCGGTGAATTACCGTGGTGAAGGTAAAAGTATCACACCACTTCACAGGCTGGCAACTCACTCGTGACTTTCTCCCTTGGAGTGCAAGTTCATGCGGTCGTCAGATTCAAAATGGAGCCTCAATAGGGGGAATGGGTGAAGGAAGCGGCGGCAGCACACATGATGCGTGTTTCTTCTTCTTCTTCCCCTCTTCACCAGGTCGGAGGCTTGGGTTTGACTGGGTATGCCTGCTCAATGCATACGCGCCCACTGACTGCGACTCGATCCTCGCTCTGTCATTGCTAGAAGTTCATGAGAGAACCACAGAGAGCTTACGGACCACCTGCTGACTACCGTTAGATACCACCATGATGTAGCCCTTAACGGAAGAGGAAGAACGGTCCTGTTGCCAGCATCCGTACATGTACTAGTGTGGTGAAGTAGAGGAACTTGATGAAGCTGCTGGGAACGGCACACTGTATACATGTCTGGTTCCGTTTGGTGGTGCCTGCGGTACGACATTTCACCTCACCAGCGATCTTCGGGCGGCGACTTTTGCTTCGCCGTATTCTCCCAAAGAGGAAGGAACTGGCTTCGTATATCACCAACATGATGCCTCGAGGCAGTGTAAACGAGTTGATGAGCGTTTAGTGTCCCAAGACGCCTTCTTCCAAGGGACACTTGTCGCCATCGACACCGCTGAACTTGGTATCTCCGACGTCTTTACAGAGTTGCTGAACAAAAGTGCGCAACATGACTTTAGTTGCTACGTTCCAGCCGGAGTTGCCTCCCTCGAGCCTGTCTATTATCTGCCCGTTACATCGGCCTCCATTACTTGCCCTTCAGCGAGTCGGTTCCACGGCGTCATGACACTTCAGTCTTGCTTCAAGCTCGCGTGTTTCGAGAAAATTTTCGCCTCAGGGACAGCACTCTAGGCAGTGCTCACCCGGCTGTGGACCAACTGCATCACAAAACGGATCATGGCAGATGAGTTGCTATGGTTTATTGGATCACGACATTCTCGTGGGACGTCAGATGGCTTTCGAAAAGGGCGTATCGCTGATGAGGTGGCGGCCATGGCACTGGGCAATGGAAAGATGATCCAAGCGTGATGTAGGCGGCCTTAAGGAACCGAAGTCAGTCGATTGAGGCAGAGACCGAGAACGAACCTCAACAATTCAGTCCAGCCAGTCCGAGCCTTGAAAATTCAGGGGGCGGGAGATGTGCGTATGGATGGTGATGATGATGATGATGACGAGGCGAGCATGAACACTCTGGGGAAAAGTCTGGGGTATGGGGACGTTGAGAGGCAAGCAGAATGGACTGGACAGAAACACTGCTCAAAAGGTCGCCTTGCAGAAGTCTGGGGCCCCAGTGGTCCTATGAGGGCGTTGTTGATTTCGTGATGATAATATTATTTGGTGGTGGTGGTGGTGGTAGAGGTAGTGGTGGTGTCATCATCATACGGCGTCGCAACTGCAGCGATGAGGTACCGATGCTTTCGTTCGTCAACTTGACATGGACTGACTGAAATTGCAGTGCAGTGATGTCGGTTCGTTACTAAGTATTCCTTCCCCAGGGTGTTTGGCCAGTGAGTACCAACTTCAAAGGCACGGCGGGCAGTCACGGGCGATGGCGGTGGTGGTTCCCTTAAGTGTTGTGGTGGTCAAACGGGGACACTCAGACGCGGGAAGCACGACCGGTGAGGCAACCGACGCGCAGCGGAATACTTGCCTCTACTGCTAAGGGCTCAACCCTTTCACCGGTCGCCGCAGGACGAAATCTCCGCACGCAACAATTGTGAGCTTTTCGGAAGATCTCCCTCCAGATTCCTCCAAATTCAATGGATGAGGAAACCACACCACACGCAACAAGTGAACGCCGCACCCCGACCGACCGACCGACCAACCAACCGACCGGTTACGACGCGACACCCGACACCCGACACCCGACCCTTTTGAAGGCTTGAACACTGACTGACCGAGCCGTTACCGTTAGCATCCCCATCTTGAGTGTCGCAAAGGATGTCGAGGACCAGAGAGACAGAGAAAGAGGGGGGGTACCAACACTTGGCGAAGCTAGGCTAGAAAGCGCTCGAAACCACCACCACCACCACCCCCTTGAGTGATAGTCCACAGCATGGCAACAAGACAGAGAGAGCGTTATCCGTCACTATCTGACAGATGGGTAACAGTCTCCGCGACCGAAGCGTTACGATTGCCCCGCAAAGTGGCTTTTACTGCTACTCTCTCGCTGCCACTGCTGCTCTCCTCGCTCCTGCTGCACAACGTTACACGGCCGCAGGCTGATATGAGGTCTCGATAGACGAGACGCCCCTTCAGACTTGGCAAAGCTGGAGTCTGGAGCAGTGGACAGAGTCGACATACTCACGGCATCTGTGTCTGTGCCGTAAGCGAGTCGCTCAAACACAATACAACACAATACATCACGACACAACACCACACAACACACGACGCCGCCAGTATTACGTCGGGCGGGACGATCGGTCAACGACGGGAGTTGCAAGTTTGTGGGGTTGTGGAGGGGATAGCTAGGTACAACCAGCCAACCTCATCTCCACGGAAAACACAAGCCATGAATGGATGGCACGGGAAACACTCGACATGGATGGATAATGCGGGACCCTCTGTGCATCAGGTCGTCCAGAAAAAGATCAGGATCAAGGATGGAAACAGGTTTCTCTCTCGCCGCCAGCCCACCTCCAGTCGCCGTACGAAAGGCCAGCAAGCAGAAATCTGGGGAAGATAGTTGCTGCTGACTGGTGTTTACCTGACCCATCTTGCCCCCAGCTTCTTCCAGGTTGTCCTGCAGCGGTTACTTGCGATCTACAGTTTTGCCTGCCCCTTTTCGATGGGTCGACGGTCAGTTTCAAGAATTCCGACCCTGTTCATCTGGGTCGATAATGATGTGATTCGAGTTCGTTAACGAAAACGCCCACCACGCGCCTCTCTGCATCTTGACCCGCTTTATCCTCAGGGGGCACGGGGTCGGTCGAGGATTCCAAAGGTGATGGAAACTTGCCTTATCTCACGCTCAAGACCGTCATGTCTTTTTCCGACGGCGGCGTCGACGGCACACCGCTTGCCGCTATCGCTCGGTCAAGGGTCGTTTTCAGCTTTCAGGATGCGGTATCCGATGCCTTGGTCGCCGCCGTTCCCCTTATTTTTCCGTCACGCACTGACTGTCCGTTCATCAGTCATTTCTCCAAAGTTCCAAGTCCAGACTCCAGAGTGCAGTCGCCTTTGCAGTGCTTGCGGTTATGGGTGTCGGACCCGTACGCGGCGTTGCAACATTGTGCGCCCCACTATAAACACCACCACCACCATCACCAAAAGACGGACGCTACCAATTGCCCGAGACATGTCAAACTCGCTCGTCTTGGACGAATCGCAATGGAGGATGCCGCCTACTCCCTTCCTGTTGGGGGTCATGTACAAGGGCATTACAGTAACCCCCTATTCCCGTCAGCGCTTGTCGAAAGATTGTGAGTAAAGACTTTTTTTGACAAGTGCTGCACGTCAGTCTTTTAGGCAAGAGGTAAGGGTCGTTGGCGGCATCGGTGGCGGCTTGGTCAAGAAAAGTTACTCGACCGTTCATCCAAATGAATGGATGGTTGCCTTCTTTTCGCCCATTCCCAACGCAACGTTTTGAGGCCATGTCTTGCCAAGAGGAAATAGTTCTACACCAAAGTCCGGCGCTACGCCAGTCAACGGAGGCAGATTTCAAGACCACCACCATGACTTCTATCACCACTACCGGGGATGGGACCGTTTGGTTACCAACAACGGAGAACGGATCACTTAGCGACATGAAGCTGTTTTGCGCTAACTTGCAGGTCCACTTGGGACGCAACCTCAACTTCGGCCGGGTAAGGTCCAAAAGGGTCCGGTCTGGAAGATCCAGAGGGACCCCGCACGGCCCGATGCTAGAGTCTCCGTCTGGAGCCCAGAGAATCAATGGAGCCTGCCGTTCGGGCGCTTTGTTACCCCCTTGAGAGGCTCTTGTTTTTTTCTCCTTTAGACCCAGCAGTTGGGCGCCAACCCACTTCGTACTACCAAAAGTGTGTAAGAACAACCTTACAAATGGCCAATGGTCGATAACACAGGACCCTTCTTGGTGGATTGTATGAGACACGTCAACTGGCCGTTTATTGACTACTGAAACCGCCTACAAGGACATGGTATGTTGGGAATTCTACTCCCCAAGTTTGACATTTCCTGGTGGTGGAGGAGTGAACCGAACAATGACCGTTTCGAGATCCGTTCAGGAAATCCACGTCCCATTTCACCATCTGTAGCAGAGGCATGTGTACAAAGAGATTGGACTTCCGTCTACGATACCGCTGATAATACTGTAGCAGTGTAGATCCAGAGGGAAGCTCTTCAAGGCTCAAGCCCAGGCTTGTAAGGCGACACTATCACGCCACCCTTGACCCGCTGTGACGAATACACCTACCTCTAGGTCCCTTCGCTTCCGTCGCTTCCATCCAGCGTCTTGGGCGTGTGGCCATCATACTCCTGAAATCGACGAGTTACAGGGCATGACGGCCGCTAAATAGGGCATGTTGTAGGCTTAGTTGGCGCTATCGCAAGCCAGGGCATGGCGTCCCACCTCCACTGCCCTGCCTGCACATCAATCGCCGGCTTGGCATGGAATTTGATATGTATCAATTTCTTCATGTTACACTCCGGCAAGTCCTTGACTCACAATCACCAGCATCACCAACAGCAGTCACCATTTCTAGAACCTAGTACGGCTCTCCGAGTTCGGCTCACAAAAAGCGTCATGACTCGCAGTTGCTATCACTATCAGCCATGTCTCACATGGACTTGAACGAACCCCTCTCGCTAGAAGTTCTGGTAGCTATCCCTCCCTGTCCGCGCTTCTCGCGAGAGAGCCGCTGTCTCTGATTCTGATTCTGATCAATCACATAGCTTCCTTCACTGACAGGATGACAGTGAGAGAAGGGGTCGCAATCTCGCATCTCACATTGCGAAACGCCATGCCATGCCCATGGCCCAAGACGCCTAGCAAGAAAGTCCGGATGAAATGGAACTGAACTGATAACGACCCGAAGATTGAACAAGATTCCTTCCTTTCTGAGACTGACAAGAGATGAACTAACCAATCGCTACCTAGATTTGAAGCTTGGAGAGATAACCTGATGGCTGATGCTAGGGCTGCTGCTAGTCCTGCTGTATCACTGCATAACATGGCTTACTGGCCTGCCTAACCGCGAGCATGGGGCGTGGTCATGAGCATGGTTTTTGCAGTAGTGAGAAAGAGGAGAGGCATGAAGCAGCCATCGCGGGCATGCAAGAAATTCGAACTGCAGCAGGCGGAAAGATTCATCACCAGAGCATCAGTTGCAAGATGGATATCGATCTTCGGGTTGGCTGACCCTGGCCTCAACCGCGGGTAGCGAGCTCCGCAACGGAAACGCATGGTGATCATGATGATGACCATGACCAGGAAGCCTTGTCCTTTACTCCACGTCTTTTACATGTGCGATGGTAAGACGCTTGGGAGGAATATACGAGACTGCAAATGCAAGCGAGTTCGGAACGGCCGGCGCCAGATCATTGCATCCTGGATAAAGCTGGAGATGAGAGGCCATTCCGACTCGTGACCTGGCCAGCTTCGCTCCCCACCATCGATCCGACTGACATGACATGACATCCACGGAGATCCGAGCGAGTGCTCGGTTTTAGTTCTCGCTTCAACTGCAACGGCCCAAGATGAACTTTGAACTCGTCATTGACCTCAGCCGCCTTAGCTTGGCTGGGTCCCAACTTGCACAGATCAGATCATTGGAGTCAATGCATCGCCAACTTGCGTTCGACTTCTCCGTATGGTCTCCTTCGTATGGCAGTCTGGGCCATAGTCTATATGCCCATGCATGAACAAGGCGCAATTCGCCTTATGTCGTCTAGGTCTTGGGAGACGGGGGAAATTTGGCAGCTTTTGGGTCTCTTGCTACCTGACCTGCGTTCATGGCCTTTGACCGGTCGTTGCCAAGTGGATGAGGGGGGTTTACACAGGGTTGCGGTCGTCAAGTTGTGTAACCATGCTCAATGAGCCGGTCAGGGCCAGGTTGATGGGGTAGCGTAGGGTGGAAATATCCAGAACCCCAGAAGCTGCGATGGGGTTGTGAATCGTCTGTGCTGTCAACGGCAAAATATCTCTCTTGGCCTTGCTTGACACTTCCTTTTCTTGCGCGGACATGACCAAACGCTGAACAGTCACCAAGGTCTACGATCAATTTCTTCCGTCAGTCGGTAGCACTCGCCTCTTGAACTGGACAGCAAAGGGTCCCGGTCCATCCATCCCCCAATCTCTTCAATCTCATCTCATCTCGTTCATCCTGTTTGGCCCGTCTCCGTATCCGGGATGGCAGATACGGCAGCACCAAAAGGTCCAATTCGGCTCATACCGTGCCATCCCTCACTCCCGCCGTCACTCGCGAGCTCTAGCGAGAGGCATAGTGAGCGGAGAATAAGTCATGTATAGGTAGGAGGGTCTTATCTACCTTGATGGCTCATACCACACCTTCATGTAACGCTGATGGACGAACATAACCCTTTCATGCTTACCACTGTCTTCCGGATGTCACCAATGTTCCGGCGTGTATCATATCATCAAAGCGGACATTGTCTGCCCCGCTCACACCACACATGCTCACAACAATCCTGCCTCACAACAAAAAAATTCCGTTATATCAAGGATAATTAATCAACCTTGACTAGCAGCCGCAGCGACAACTGGAAGCAGCCACGGCAGCCGCCACAGGCAACCAGACCCCCTCGAAATTGAAATCCCCACTACTTGTGGTTTTTCTGTTATCTCCGTGCAACACACCATCTTACTGTGTCCGGAAGGCGCTAATGCGGGGTGTGCCACACCTAAACACAAGCACTGCACGTTCGAGGCACACGTTTTTATGTACGAGCATATGTGTGGAAGGCGCATCTTGGTTGGTGTATTGGGTGGAGGATTTGGTGGATGGCGGATGTCACCCTGCGACATGTTTGGTTCTAGTGCCATTTTGAGGCCATGAGTTCTTCTTGTCCAGTTATTCAGTTCGCCGTCAACAGGTGCAACAGTTTGAGAGCCGAACCTACCTGCCTAACCGCCATAATGGAGGGCACGATATTGGGATGACACCCGGGAACTAAGAGAGAAGTGAGACTTGCGATCCGTTCCGGTTCCATCGTCATCCAAACAACCACCGCGAGTATTAGCATAACGTAAAAAGACCGGCTGCTTCCAAGTATGTAACTTCGTTTGGAGCGGCAACAGCTAATCCATCTGCAAGCTCAGGTCCGAAACGGAGAAATTTGATAGACAACCATTCAACCGCCTCACTTCCGTCCAAAAAAGACATATAACCCGCCATCTACACACCCTCATCTCCCTTGGTCTGTCTATCAGGGCTTCAGATCATGCACCTCATCACCGAAGCGGTTCCCGCAAGACGCAGGACGCGGACGCGGACGAGATCTTGGGCCCTTGAGCTAGAGGTACAATCGCCAGGTGAGGTCAACAGTGCCCAGGCTCGTGACTTTCCCCTCATCAGTCCCTGACGTGGGGTGGAACTGCTTATCCGGAGGACTAACTGGGTGCGGGGCTGTGTCATGTGCTTTCTTCGATATCTCAGCACATCCTCTTACTAAACCCGTGCTTGGACTCGTGATTGATCACTTGGACATCTTTGGACTTGGGGGTCCTCCTCCGAGTGAGGAGAAGGAGGGAGGTTCATGCGGGTTGGTCAGAATCGAGGCAGACGAGGTGGTGGAGAGATGGAGAAATGGAGTGGTTCGAACTGGGTCTTGGCGTCAGAGTGGCTTCAACCTCTGGAGAGTGTTTAAGGGCGGGGGCTATGAGGCCGTTGGGAACGACGATGTTGAGTGGTGATGAACGTCTGGAGAAATAGGGAACTGGGGCGGGGAGGTGGGTTGATGGTAGAGGTACCTACCTCTAGGTAGGTTGATGAGGTAAGAGTCTGGAGACTTTATAGGCATTGAAGCAACCAGAGCCCTCGAGCACTTGCCGTCAATGCACCTCTATGCTAATTGTAAGTTTGTTTACATCCTATCAAACTTGTGTCACCCATCATCACCTGAAGTTGGGTAGGAATCTCGTTGTATCATGGTGTTGTGGCGAATTTGACACGTCAAGCCCGAAACCGTGAAAGACTCCCAAGCGGCGGTCCTGAATGCTGATTGATGAGCATTCCACACGGCACTTATACAAGCTATAGTGCTCAGGTCCTAAACCCCTTACGACACATATGGTGAACTATCCGTACGGGCAAGGATCGACGCCGGTGATAACAGATTAAAGGTTTTTGGGGTTGCACGAAGCTCTGGACCAGCTCTTTCCAAAGTTGAAAGTCGGCAGATGCCTACTTGCCTCTACCTCTACTGGTGTAGGCTGAATAGACTGAACCATCTTGAGATATACTGCTTCAAGTGGTGAGGAGTCGGTGCCCCTTCAGCATTAGAAGACATCGCAGGATGATGACTACCTTAATCTCTGGGCACTGAGTCAAAATTTTGATGTTAGATTGGATCATTCTACACATTTGTAGAGCATTCGAGACGCTTAACAGCAGAAAGTTTTGTCTCGGGGACTGTCGACTGTGACTCGGGGGCATCTGCTTCGATTCCAGGACGTATGACATGGAGATTTGATGGCTTCTAGCAGAAACTCCATTGAGGCATTTGAGCCGAGTTCCGATTTTGAAGACTGTAGTCCATCCCGTCTCCCGACCGTCGTTTCCTGCAACGACTGCATAAAACGGATGTATTGAAGATCAATCATCAACTTACAGAAGTAGGTGCCCTGATGTACACAGTCTGCCACAGTTTGAACCAATACTTGAGGCTCTCTCTGTCCCGCAATGTATACAGTTTTCCGTCTTTAACTGTGTTCAAGCTGGCCTGTAGTCCAGGCTGGATGTCTACCTCTACCTCTAGGTCTACACCATCTCGAACCTCAAAAACTGATGTCAGAACCTTCTTCAGCTTCTAACATTCCCTACCATCTCCAGCATCTCAAACGTAATTCTGACGAACGCCAAAACTGTCGTCTAACGTGAATGGGCGTCAGTTAACGTCAACAACGACAATCTTCGAATATTCCTCTGCAGAATATCAGCCACCATGCAAATCACGGGCACCCTACACGTTCATCCCCATAAAATCCAGATGACAATGACAAAAGCGGAGATCTTGAGGCTCTGAAATGATCTCGATGAGAGCCTCAAGTCGACCGGTGTAGCGTAGTGCAAAAAGGATCGCCATTCGCTGAAATCATAGCACGTAAGCCACAGTCCACCCATTGCATTGGCTTTCGGGACCCCCTAGAGACATACTGACTCTAGGGATATTCTGTGCAAGCAACCTTGAACGCAGAGACGATCCGGCCACCGGCAGTGCCGATCACTGAGGCCCAAGATATCAACCACCACACCCAACAGGTCAGTGTTGATTCTAGGCCCCTCCTTCATACTTATCCCTATGATGCAACTATCTGCTTGGTGGTCGACGCCCCCTTGCCAACACGAGCCGCACTACAGCATTGCTACAGCACAACGACGCAGAACGACGTGCAAAAACATGCATCCCTATCCACTTGCGGAGAATGATGGACGCGGATGGGCGGCTTAGAGGGCAGAAGGTTTTTAGTTTGATGCAGAAAGGGTTCTCTAGGCTTCTTGGCTGTGTGGTCCAGACATCGAATCGGGTTACACATTGCCAGACGTTGGCGGGTAGGTATGAGTGCAAGCGTTGGTGACGGTATGATGGTGTGCAACTGTGAACATCGATCAATCTTCAACACGGAAGAGACTGGAGCATCATGGAAATCCTCCCTCGTCTCGGCACAGTCTCGTTCTTTTCATTCTTCTCTTCTTGTCCCACATGGAACCATCTCCGCCTGGACTTGCATAAGCTGTACTGCAATTGATTGTCCACAAGCCCTTCTTGTGCTCTCATTGCACAGTGCCTCACAGCCACTATGCCGGTCTGCTGCACCTCTTACACCACTTACACCTACCAGACGTTCAACAAGGATCCAGACCGGGGCAGAGCACAGTGACGAGGGCAAGGGGCCTGTCAATCATTTCATCAGAGATGACACTTTTCTGTTCCATATCCTCTTCCCGTTCGTTGCCTGTTGTTGAACGATCTGCGACAGAATGCGGAGTCAAAGATCGTCAACATAAGACCCTGACGACGCCCAGCGCGTGTATTGGTGTCGTCGTGCAATGGCACACCATGATATCAAGTCTTATCTGGCCAGACGGGTGTCTACATCAGCACAGCGGTTCCGGAGAACCAACCTACCTACCTAGTTAACGGTTACAAAGAGCACAGTATCTTCACACGTTTTAGCGTTTTCTGGCTATAGAAAATGGATAAACATAGAGGTAAGATACATGTAACGCATTATTTAACATTTTCCATCACTTCCTTGTTTACTCGATCCGTCTAGACCTACACTGGCACATACAATACACCAGGCAACAAGGGAATGGGAGTTGTGTGCGATCAGCCGTCGGACAGCACCTACCTAGTAGCTCGAGAGCTCAAGTGCAATTGCGTACCAATTGCGCAATAGGAGGTCCTATGGATTTGACTTTATCTATCTCACAGCTTGCGGAGTGCACTCCGGTTGTGAACCCCAGCCAAATGTGGTTTGCTCGGTTATGTAGGTAGTCTCTACAGACTTTGTAGTATGATGTCGGTGTGTCCATGTTTTTGGATGACGAAGGCATAGGTACAGTCTATTCCATTCTTCTCGAGTAGGTAGGTAGGTAGTAAGGAGAGGAGGTGAGAACTCGACACTGCTGTGTTGTTGTCAACACCTCTTGTTGGAACTTGGAAAGGTAGGGGATATCAAAGATCTCGTTTGTCCCATGGGGCTTTTGAGGTTTCTGCCTCTCGATTAACAGATAGAAGCGTAGAGCAGGCTGCCGAGAGAAGAACAGATTTGTAGAGGTAGAGTCAATCCTACAGCGACAGGATCGAGTATGTCTTTCCAGGTGTTCGTCCTGCATCGACGCGTACCTACCTGAGTGACAGGCATGCTTTCCGATCAGTCCACTGAAAAAGACGAAAAGGGTTGAGGTCAGTGTCATGAGTGTGTGCACCTAGTAGAGCAGTCGATGATTTCCGGGACTAAGGTGTAGTATGTATTAGGTATTGATAAGGAGAGATGGAACTGATACATTCAGGTGAAATATTCTCACAATTGTCGAAATGATGGCGTTAATAAGAGTGAACTTCGTGACCAAAGTACCTGGATTACTTTCGGATGGAGATGTGGACTTGACGTTGCGTTGAACTCGGGTCCAGTCTCGAAGTGAGTCCGGCGTTGTCTCGTAAACTGGCGGGATAATGTATTATTCCCGGACCCAATGCTTTCATATTGATCACAGGAAAAAGTTCACATTATTTACGGATTAACATCCCTATGTAGAGGTACTCATCGCTAACAGTATAACGCCCTTTACCAAGCTCATGAGGTATGAATAGCTGGTATATGTAGTAGAGGTATCCAGGATCAAACCGCCTTCCCATTATTGCAAGTCATTAATCGCATAGTGGTATTCCATGTCATCAAATGATCAGAACAGCCACCTCTCCTCGCCCATCGGGCCCTCCTCCACATTAAACCTTACCCTCACCCGCCCCGGCTTGACTCTCCCCGTGGCCTTCTTTGCCTCCTTTCCTACCCCCTTCCATATCCCCTTTTTGTTGACTTTCTTCCTATCCTCCAAATCCATCGCCTTTCCCTCTTTCGACTCCGGCTCTGCCTCCGCCCCCTTCACACTCTCGCCTTCCACTCCCTTCTCAGAATCCTCACTAGAGGTACTTTCCCTCTTATCCTTGCCATCCTCCCACGGCGCCTCCCCAACCCCATCATCCAACCAACACCCCACATCCGTACACCAAACCCCCGCATCCCTATTATGCCTCACCTCCTGCCTACTCACCCTCCCATTGTCGCGGGGTATCCACAACCGCGGCGCCGGCTTCCACATCTCAGGCGGGTAATACCCCCTCTTATTCTCGTACCCCTTCGGCAACTCCCAGCCATCTGGACCTGGTCCATTGCCCACTTTCTTGGCGAGAGTCCGGAAATCCGCATACACAGAAGGGTGCAGCCATCGTTGAATCAAGTTCGGGTTTCGGATGGTGGGATCGGGAGTAAGGAAGCGGTGGATGCGATACAGGAAGCGGGTGAATGGTGATAGTCGGCCTGGGGGGCCCGTGCCGTTTGCGGAGGCTTTGAGGTTCGTTAGTTGGGATTTTAGGGTTGTTTTGGCGAATTCGGTGATGGAATGCCGGATGGAGGAGGATCCTTCTAGGCCGCGCATGCGCTGGCTTTGGGGACCGTCGGAGTCGAAGTCGTCGTCGTAGAGACCGGGAGGCTCGGGGTCGTCGGTGGAGGGGTCAGAGTAGTCGAAGGAGTTAGAGGCGTAGTAGTCGGCTGCGGAACCGCCGATGACTTCGGCGGGGATGTCTGCCCCTGGGGTTGACATGGAGGTGTCGTTGTAGTAGTCGGCTGCTAGACCGCCGCCGCCCTGCGCGGATGTAGGGTCGGAGGGGGTGGGTTGGGATACAGGGTTGATGTCGTGGTCGTCGCCGTCGCCGTCTTCGGCGATTTGGCCGTGCTGTTTTTCTAGGGCGAGGGTTTGAGGTAAGCTGGCGAGGAGAGGGGAGAGAGCTGAGCTGAGGGAGTAGTGCGTGATGGCGCAGAAGCCGAAGAAGAGGATCATGAGGAGCATAGGGCCAAAGGCTTTTTTGAGCGCAAACAACCCGATGAGACAGATCTCGGCGATGTAAAGTCCGACCATGAGATGGAGAAGCGCGCGGGGGTAGAGCAGTCCTTTCGTGTCCAGCTCCGAGTCGTCATGGATGTAGATGAGATTATACCGGTAAACCAGGCTGACGAACAACATCCCAAACCCAGCAAACACCAGGATCAACGGGCTGATGCACGAATACGCCAGGGCAATAACCCCCATGTTGGTGAACCGCGGATACACCGCCCCCCAATGAATTGGCGTCAACTTCCTCCACCTGTGATATGCCTTCCTCGGATCAACCATGAAACTGGTCGCCACATAATGCCGCAAAAGATCACTCATATTCGCCAACTTGCCTGCGCCCGCACCCAGACACTGCACCAAGATATACGACAAGTAAAAGTTGCTCGCCTTGGGCAAGTTCTGCGCCAACAAATTCGGCGCTGACATTGGCTGCTTAATGACATCTATAATTGCCGCCGATGCCGCGCTTGTAATCGTCGTTACAAGAAACACCTGAATCACCTGAAACGCAAAGTAGGCGCTCTGGCAATACAATTCGACCAGCGCGTGGGACGGACACCCGGCGACCCTGGCGCAGACTCTCAGTCCGGCGGGGACAATAGCCATCAACATACTCAACGCCACAGCGGGTAATAAGCCCTTGATGACGCCCAGAATGACCTTGGGAAGCAAGGGGATCCAAAACAGAAAGGGGACTTTTTCAGACAAAAAGTCGATGTTGCTGATGATACCGACGGCGGCGGAGGGGATGGACCAGAAGATGATGGCGACCACGACGAGGGCGAGCATAAGGAACTGCCGCATGATCTGTTCCCACCAGCGGATCCTGAGTGAAGACCAGATGACTTGTTCGGGTCGGACGCCGATGTAGCGCGGAGACATGTGCATCGGTTGGTGATGGGACAAAATCTGGTAGGCGGCTTCGGCGGAGGCTTGGGAATCGAATTCGACAAAGGCGGAGGAAAGGGGATGGCCGTCTCCTGCGCGGAACTTGCGGCGGAGTTTCCAGATGTCGCGGTTGAGGACCTTCAAACGGGCACGTGTCCAGCGGATGGTGTCAACACGCCGGCCGAAGTTGTGCAGAGGTCTGTGGTGCGGGCGGTCGTTGGCGCGGACAAAAAGGGCAGCTACGGAGCCGCGGACGTCCGGGAGGGAAGCAGGGTAGCCATAAGGATGTTGGTACTCGGGACCGAGGTCATCGGCTTGGGACTTTTTGGGGGCGCCGGGGTCTTCACCGGGTAGGCCTGGGGTTTCGGTTTCGTCAACAGGGATGGGAGGCGCTTCGGTTCGTCGTTCGCGGATTCGAACTGGATTGGGTTTGGTCCCTTTCTCTAGGTCGCCATCTTGGGCCGATTCGTTCGATTGGTGCAAGGAGAAGGATGATGTCTTTGATGATTGGGGGTCGTCGGTAGCAGGTTCGCCTGCGAACGGTGGCGCGCCCTTTCCTTCCCTGATGTTCTTCATCCTAACCGTGTTTGCCTTTTTGATGAGTTCGATTTCCGCCTTTTCCAGGCGTTCCGCCACGTCGTCTCTGTCCTCCACTAGGCCGCGGAGATAGTTGGTGTTCTTGGGGATCCAAATGTTCTTCACTGAGTCGCCAAACAGCTTTCGTAGCTTCGCCTCGTCCAGATACGGCTTCGGGATACACGTAAATAGCACCGTCCTAGCTGATAATCGGTTGCTCATGTTGGGTGAGAGCAGGTATGCCTGGCGTAGGTTGATGTAATAGATGCATTCTCGGCAGACCATAAACAAAACAAAACCTGTGAACAATCATAAGCGAACAGCCCAACAACACATATAAACGGGAGAGTGACGACCACAACAACTAACCAAAAAACAACCAAGCGACAACCACATGTGCGTAGTACTTGCTCGGCAGCTTGATATTGCCCATCGTCAACTTATCCAACTGCCTCTGCAGATTCCCTCCGGTCGCATTGATCGGCAGCAAGATCGGCCACGAGATAGCCAAGCCAGCAAAGCAAATGACCGACAAGATCTTCAAAAACCTAAGGAACAAGTACCCATCCAATGAGCAATTGTTTAGGATATAATCGTCGTCAATCTTCCAAAATGGCTTAACCCAGTCGATCCACCCATTTGGCAGCGTCTGAGCTGGATGCCTGCATCACACAAGACGTCGTTAGCCCCTAACACCACTACTAGTTCCAGGTGTACAGTGCAATCATTTTGCAATCTACCGAGTCGCACGGGTCGTTGCACACGTTTGGCACAACTGACGTTTGATGGGAAGACATACTCTGGTTCGCGCAACTGTGCAATAGTCCTAGGCGCATACGTCCTTGTACTAATCCGCCGAAACGTGAAGAAGATGAGCAGACAAATGGCCGCATAGACGAGGACGGGCACAAAGGTGCTACCGAGGGCGCTCAATGACGCTGAGTCCTTATTGTCGCCGGAGGAATGGGAGAGAGTGCCGCCGGATGCGCCATCGCGGCCAGAGCCGATTCTGGGGTCATCGCTTTCGTTCTGTTGTGGTGATGAGAGGTATTTAAGTTAGTGATGCTTGTTGACTGGGAATGGGTTGTTTGTCAAGGTGAAGATGAGACGAGATGAACGCGTGGGTGGGAAAGGGAAACATCACAAGAAGCGGAAGCGAAGGGACGGATCGAGAGCCGGGAGCGGCCCGGGCGGCGTCGACAAGCGGGATGAACGTGCGGGAAAGACAGACGACGAAAGAAAGAAAAGAAAGACAACAGGACCTACTATGAATTTGATATTTTTGTTCAATTCTTCCGCTGCCCTTTTCCACAAGTGGGTGTGAAACTCGGACAACCACTCCATCGTGGGTTGCGGTTGTCTGTCTGTCTGCGTGTTTTCTTGATAGAGCTGGAGACCCGACCCAGCAGACACACAACTGACTGGTGAAGGCGCACTCTGTTCAGGTCATATTATGAATGCCCACTCAGGCGCCGCGCGCAACCTTGGAAAACAGCTGCTGATGGTGGATGATGCGCAGATAGACCGAGAGAATTGAACTTTGAGCTAATGCCAGGAACAAACTCCGCGAACTGGGGAAGTGAAACTTGCACAGCTAGGTATGGATGGGAAAAAGAACGGAGGACGGGAGGGAAACCAAGCCTGTCCCAGCTGTCGTGAACCCTTGGGATCTTAGCGGTGGTCGGCAGCGTCGAACAATGGTCCGCCACCGGGGTCACCCAGGTATCTGAACAACCCTGAGGTCAGTCTTTTCGGGCTTCTGGCGTGTCGATCCAATCACAAAACATCGTGGGATAAGCGGAGTAAACTGTGAGTGGAGGACAGATATGGTTAACAACGACAGAAAAAGACCGGTTGTCAGACGGGAGCTACCCAAGTTACCTTACCCGAAGTCGTACAGGAGGCCGCTGACTTGAGAGATACTCATCTTTCACCTCGAGATTCATAAAAATCATGATACTAACCCTCAAGATCTCGTACCTCTCACCAATACTTCGCCCCCGAGGTGCCCCTCTCTCGAGAGATCTACACAGCTTCCACGCGCTATTCCCCGATGAGGAAAAGCATATCTCCTACAGATCCAATGGAACTGGACCCGGTTCGGGAGCGCGAGACCCGATTGGGTATACGATTTGCGACTGACTGGCTGCGACGAGCTGAGAACAAGGACTCAGGGGGCATGGTAGTGTTCACTTTACCATAGCCTTTTTCTCTGTTCTTCTTCCCCAACCAACCCTGCAGTTGGACAGCCCACGAAACTTTCTTCTTTTCTTTTTCTTCATCTGTTAGATCCCGTCTCGCCGAGGCGCCAGTGCGGCGGGAGAGGAAAAAGAAAAACTGACCCACAATGTCATCATGCACTGGACTACTGTATGCGGGCAGTGGATGAGTGGGGGATCAACAGCCCGAGACAAATACCGGGCGGTTATGGGGTTCGCGAAGGCCGAGGGTTGGTGGTCAAGTTTCCCTCGTGGTAATCGTGATCCAGGAATCAAACCCAGAACTTTCATGCTTATCCGCCATCCTTTGATGGTGGAACTTCGGGACGATGATACAAGTTAGTGGATCGTGTAGAAGGCTACAGCGCATAATTGCCTGCTACTGAGCAGAAGGAAAGTGACGAGAACTCGGAAATAGCAAAAGTTCCACAATGGCCCCTTTTCTCGTGCAGTCGGGTCATGAAGTTCAAGAGCGCACGTGCAAAAACTTGAAGACGCAGAAGCAACAAAAGCATCCACTTTTGGTATGTAGATCGATATCTTGCTCCCGGTAGCCGGTATCCAATGGTCAGCTTTTGTTTGAGATCGCTTTTGTAAGGGCAAACAACACACCTTCAAACATCAACGACGTGTGAGCTGGGTTGCCCAGCAAGGACAAAAACATGGTGTTTGATCTGGATGAGTGAAAACATGAGGAGACCACTTCGTCGTAGCAACAGGTGGCACCCTCGGCGCCTGCGCCACTCCCGGTCCGTACCCCGTCGCAACATTTCCGAAGCCTAGAGGTACATTCCCTCCTGTGGCTCCTCCTTCGAAGCCTACCCCATAGCCCATCTGCGCTTGTGTCTGAGCCCGCCCATACATATTACTCTGCCCATAGCCATACCCTCTCTGAGCACCTCCTGCTACTCCAGCCCCAGGCCACCACGCCTCTCCCTTCTCAACATCCCTCGGTATCGTCCTAGAGCTCGCACTCGTCGAACTATCACTCGTGCTGCTCGACGACGATGAATCGTGGTAATAGTGAGCCCTTCTCCATCGGTTTCGCCTACTACTAGCCGTCATCGTAGTATCACTCCAGGCGCGGAATCGGATGTAAAAGAAGCAGCAGATGACGAAGAAGATGACGCCGCAGATAGATCCGAGGACTGCGCCGAGGAGAGCGGTGGAGGAGAGAGGGGCGCTGTCGCGGGGGAGAAGCTGGTGATTTTGAGGGGTTATAGTAGTGGGAGCGGAGTCGAAGGCTGGGGTTTGGTTGTTGGTATTGTGCTTGGTGAGGAGGGACAAAGTGGCTGTCGCTGTGCGGATTGATCGGGAGAAAGATTGGGTGAGGCGAGGGAGCAAATTTCTTTTGCCGTATTTGAGGATGGCGACGATCTCCATACTTCCTGGTGGTCTTTTTGAGGGTATTCTTGAGGCTCGTCTCTCTGAAACTTGGGTGTGTTGTCGGGTCTCAGTCCGAGAAGTGAGACAGGCCGGACTATATCAACAACCAACCCAGCGGGTCTCAACTTGCTCTACCGATTCCCACGTCCACCATTGTAGAGCTGCCGGCTCTGAAACAAACTGGAAGGCTGAGACTAAGGTCCTCCATGAGTCCTATCATGTTGCTATTTAGTGGTGCCGCATGATGTTGACCTACCACACATCATAACCCGCCAACTCTATCAAGGTGAGACAAGGTGTCCTGCATGGGATCATATGGCCAGTGCCATATGACTGGAGCAACCAGGTTGAGGGTGTAGACCCTTTGCTGTCGAACCTGGCAGTCGGGACTCGGGCGGGAAGTGTCCGAAGTGGTGGAAATTAGTGTTAGCCCAGCTGTGTAGCCGTCATCACAGCATATCTCGGCCTACACGATGACTGGCGAACGAACCAAGCACCTAGGACCCCTCTTGATGACGTGCCGCAGCCTGGTATCTTCAGTCTTGATATGCTTCGATACGTGCTGTGTGTTGTCGCTGCTGTCGTCGGCCAATGGCGCAAACGAGCGCTACACCCACTCCAGTGGCGGCGGAGAGGGGCTGCATTTGTGCTGCATATTACCACCATCACAACATGGTCTCGTGTCGGTGATGTATTTATCGCCTTGAGGTGGGATCAAGGACCAGGCTAGCACGCTACTTTTGGGCTCGTTGGCCGGTCGCTTGGTGTTGGGCGGCATCGGAGAAGAGATGGATTTGTCGAGCAATGAAGATCGATGCGACATTAATGTGATGGTTGGTGAATTTGCTGCGATTCTGTTAGCGGATCAACTCAGCCCTCCGCCGTGAGCGACGGGAAGCCGGCCTGCGTTCGCACACCGGTAAATCGAGTACTACACGGATGGACATCATGTAAATTTCGGGAGAAACGGGGGGCGCGATTGAAGGCACGCGAAAGCTTGATTTGATGGAATGAGAAATACGGGTTGATTCACACCGTTGTTGTATTTGGAAGAAGGGAAAATCAAAACGAGCGAACGGATGGAAAGACATGACAAGAGGTGGCCAGTGCGGGCTGCCCCTCCATCCCACTAAGATGTGACATTATCTGATCTCGATCAAACCTCCGCCGAAATTCGATAGTGTAGTAACTGCACCACAACATGACAGTCGTTCCTCAAGTCCAACATTTACATTTCCCGGGCTCCTTACACTGCAAATACCCATCGTCAGGACACGAAACCCTCGAACAATCGCACATCGTCGTCTGGCAAATACACTGGCCATCCGGAAACTTGACCTCATCGTCCAGCGAGCAATAGGGCGTTGTGGCATACGGGCAGTGCGTCAACACTTTCCTGCAGTCAACTCGTTTGTTTTGGGCAATGGCGGGCGCGCAGCCTGTAATGGGGTGGCAGTGGCATTTTCTTTCAGATTTGAGGCCCGGTTAGCAACTGGATATCTCTAAGAGGTGAAGAAAAGGAGACACACCCATCATCATCGCACTTGGTCTGACCCCAATCACAAGCTGTGTGATCGCAATTACATCCTCCCTCTGGCTTCTTCACGCAGATACAAACGTTGTTGCGCCAGAAGGGGTCCATCTGCTGGCAAATCATGGACTGGCCCTTGGGGCAATGGACATGGTATTGATTGCAGTCAGAGTCGGCGCGGCAGCCTTCATGGTGGATGCAGGTGCAAGCTCTGTTTGGGATAGGTAGGCTGTCAATTATTGGGATGGACTGAAGGATGGGGCGAGGGAGGAGCATACCCGTTCATGCAGACGGTGTTCTTCTCCGGGCATGGAGTGTCGTCACAACTGCAGAGAGCCTGTTGCGCTGAGAGTTGGCCAAGGGACATGGTGTAGTTGTTGAAGCCGGTCGAGTTAGAGGCACCAGGCATGGCGGAGCAGGTCGTGGCCAGGCTGAGGACAAGGAGCAAAAAGAAGGAAGAAAGGGTCGACATCGTAACTGACTGAAGAATTTGAGATAGGTAGACCGGCTCTAGATCAAGTCACTGGGAGTAGGCGAAGTAGAGGTTGCCTGCTATGGTTCTCAGGGTGGAAGAAATCTCCTGAAGGACGCGGAATACTGACGATAGACCAGTACTTCAACAGTTGTCCAAAGCTGGCGGTTCATATATCGTCGGTTATAACGTCCATCACCCGATGTCCTTGCCTTTATCCTTTCTTCACAAGAGGCTGCTGGGATACAGTCACGGCAGGAGCAAGCACCTCTGTCTACCTTGGAATTGACGTTGAGATGCCACAAACCAACGGTCCCGTCGGCCATACCTGCCCCATCACTCACCCGAACCTATCACCGGGAAGACCTCTCAAGAAACACTGTTGACATCACATACCCGGAGGTAAACGGGGTAACATGTGCGTGTTTGGGAGCTAAAAACAGTCTGTTGAAGATAACACGATACTAGTACCTCAGACCCGTAGCACAGCTCCATTTGTTCCGAAACCTCAGAGGAGATATTCTGGGAATGAATCATTAACTACGTCGTACCTCGGAAGCGGCAGTTTGAACAGGTCCATGCTGCTTAACAAGATCTGGTGCAAAAACCCTGCTCTTCAAATTACCTGACTCCGGTACGGAGCTGGATTTATGAACCTGGGCACGCCATCCGTTCGCGATCTGTTCTGTGTAGAGGTCATGCCAGAATAAGCCTCGATTCACAATTTCGCCAACTGCATGACTTCCAAAATTTCCATTTCACTAAAGAGCGTGAACAAGCCGAACGTCGTTGTTGATGTCTCACATGCTCACCTTAGTCCATACCAGTATCGCACATCCAATTCTCTACGGTATGTCTTCCAGCAGCCACCGTACATTCCACAGTCCATCACCGCCGCCGTAGTAAATACCAAAACAATTCTTCCCGTGTGCAAAAAAATGTCATGGCCTTTCCTCGGAGCCAGCGTTTGATAGGATGATAACGCAATTGGTCCCAATTATTCGGCCCCATTCCCCGTAGACAGGTTCCTGCATTTGTGCCCTCAATGGCTATCGAAACCACTGCTGTCGATCCTCAAGTGAAGGAATGCTGTCCGTGATAAGAGTTGTTTTTGCTGTGACCGTCGTTAGCAATGCTGCCATTTACTTGTGATGAGCGCTTTGGTCTGTAGTTCTTGGACGACGAAGATAAATACCACCGTTGAATCTGTCCTTACCTTCCTTCAAGCACCGCCTCATCATCATCTTCATTTTCATCCCCTCACCGGCCAAGCCCAACCCACCCAGCCGTCAAGATGAAGTTCTCCACCACCCTCGTCGCCACCTTTGCCTCGCTCTCCATGGCCGCTCCCGCCCACAAACGCCAGGCCGACGACACCACCTCTACCGACGCCGTCATCAGCGACGTCCTCCCTGGCATCACTGGCGAAGAGCCCATCGAGGACACCACCACGTCTTCCTCCTCCGCCGACGCCGTCATCAGCGACGTCCTCCCTGGCATCACTGGCGAAGAGCCCATCGAGGACACCACCACGTCTTCCTCCTCCGCCGACGCCCTCGCGACCGCCGACCCTTACGACATCTACCGCGTCCCCGCCGTGACTCCCACCTTCCCCATGGAGCAAAACGACTTCACTGGGATCCAAGGCGTGCAGTCCATTTCAGAAGACAACGATGACGATGATGACCTCGTCGACGCCGCCATCTCCAGCCTTACCGGCGTGACCCCCCCTTTGACGACCGGTACTGCCACCACCACCCGTCTCGACGCCGACGCCGACGCCAACAACGACAGAGCTCTTTCCGTCGACGATGCCTTCGTCAGTGATGCACAAGCGCAGGCGATGATCGACGCCGCTATTCGCTACGCGCAACAACTCCCTAACTCTGTTGTGCCTATGCCCTTGAGCACTGGAACTCCCCAAATTTTCGTAGACCCGTACCTGGGCAACACTACCACCCTTTTCAGCAACTCGTCCACCTCCGCCGTCAACCCTGCCGCTACTACCACCACTGATGGCACGGACCTGGTTGCGTCCCTCCAGGCTCTCAATGACGCTTTGGCTTCGTATCAGGATCTCATGAACGCCACCGCTACTGCCGCTGACAATGTCACGACGGGCGGCGCCGACGCATCTAAGCGCAAGATCAAGATGCTCGGCGACGACATGCTTTCGGGCATCCAACAGATGGCGAAGCGCGCTGAGATGGCCGCCGCCGAGCAGGTGCAGAACAAGACAATGAAGAGTGTGCTGCGTCAGCGGGGCATGATGGCTAATAGCACCATGTTTGCCAACAAGACGGAGGCGATTACGAGCAAGACGGTTATGGATAAGATGGGCAGGAATGGGGTGTTGGAGAGGTATGTTAAGATGGTTGCGGGTGAGAATTAATTCGGTCGCTGGACTTTGTCCAAAATGTCTGCGAGCAAAAGGTTCAATACTTACCTCTACCTCTAGTGTAGATGGTGGGGAAAACAGGGAGGTTCGAGGTGATGCTTTGAATGTTAAAGGGGAAAAGGGATCTTAGAGGAGTAATGAAGTCGGATATCGATAGCTACCTAGAAAAGGAACAGTCATGAAATTTTCAAAACCCGCATTGACTAGCCAGTTTATAAGTCCTGGTGTTGATCCTGACTGTGTTGGTAAAAAGTTTGTGATGTCGGGAGTTGTTTTGGTCAGACGGCAGACAGCCAAATGCCGGCGATAAGCGAGCGATATCTGACAAGATGACATGCATCCTTCGGGTTGCTCTGGAGTAACCCAGCCTGAACCAGGTCTAGATCAAGGTAAAGAGAACCACGATCGATTGTATAATGAGCAGGTGCAAAGAGATGGTGTTCATTGAAGGGTAAATGGAACCGGAAAGAAGAAATGATACTTCATATTTATAGGGATAGGGTATCACTCCAGGGAAAGGCAGGCAGGTAGGCAGTCAGTCGGGCACCGCCCCCCTACTTTTGTAGCTGGCCACCTTTGCAAGACCATGCTAAAGATATGCTCCCAAACAAGAAAAGAAAGCAAAAAAAAAGATAAAAGGCAAAATATCGACCGCCGAAGTGTTGTAACACCCATCCTGGCTCAAGCAAGCCATTCGGTTTGCTCTTTGCCCTTGCTCGTGTAAGACATGGGGTTTGATATCGACCTGTGCTGGCAAGCGATGCCGCTTTGAACACCAGGCCTTGACTCCCTACTCCTGATATTACGCCCGAAAACAACGTCATGACTATTTTTCGAATACCGCATATAACCCAAGCAAACCCCCTTCCACCCTCCTTCTCCAGCCCTCTCACGCCTCGGCAGCAGCTTCCGCCTGCATCCCCTCCCTCCCCGGGGGCGGATTCCTCAATGTAATCACCTCTCGTTTCCCATAAAGGTCATGCTCAACACCCTCCCACGCCTCGACACCAGATTTTAGCATCTCCCACTGGCCTCTCAGCGCCTCCTCGTCCACTCTCAGCTCAAACCCGACCAAGAAGCAGAAGCTAATCTCTAACCTCGCGAGCTCCGTTTCGCTAACTCCGCCCACTTTGGCAAACTTGGAGTGCGGATAGCTCAGATCTTCCAAGGCTTTCATGGCGACTCGTATGCCTGCCAAAAGTAGGCGATGCGCATTGCGCTTGGTGACGACGATGGCGCGCTCGATAATAGCCAGGCGGTGGATGTACAGAGAAGCGGCGAGGTAGACAGCCGTGGACATGGGGCAGTATTGGTGGATGCGCAGGAGGTAGTCGGTAATGGAGATCGGGGGAGGCAGTCGCGAGTAGAATTTGCGGGTTATGGCCGAGTGTTGGGTGTTGAGCGGCTGGGAGTTCTCGCCGACGATGATGTAGGGTTCAAGGGCCGATTTTGCGTCGCTGGACGAGAGACCGGGCGGTGGGGTTGGGTTGGGGGTGCGGAGTTGGACGCCGTCTATTGACTGGGATTGTTTGTACCCTTCTCTCGAGGGAGGTGGGTGCGGGTGCCGTTGTGGCGCCGGGCTGAAGGGTCTCCGTGGGGAATTGGTCGCGCTCTTTTGCTGCAAAAGCCTGGCCAGGTTCTTCTCGGAATTAGACCGTACGATGCTCTGTTTTTCGGCGTCCATGCCACGCATATGGGGGATGGTTGGGGATCGTGGGGGCGGCGTGGGCGGGATGTCGCCTGTGAAGGAAACGAGGGTCTCGATGCCAGCGCTGAGGAGCTTGAGGGCGGCTAAGGGGGAGACTTTGTAGATATCGTCAACATCTTGGTCGGACTCGCCGGTGTGTGATTGTGTTATTTGTCGGAAGAGCTTTGGGTCGGCTGAAGGGACGGGTGCCGGGGGAGGCGTCGCCGGGGCGCTCGAGTCGGACTTTTGTTCAGTATCAGCAGCCGGAGGGTCGGTAGGTGCCGGAGCCCCGTGTTCGGGATTGGGTGACATGTTGGAATGCGATTCGATTGCGTTCACTTAGGTATCGTCGAAAGAATAATGATATCGAAAGGTAGCAAAAAAGGAGCAAGCTTTGTGAATGGTGCGCGCGACGAAAGCGACTGGCGAAGGTGGGACTGGGATTGGTCGCGTGACACAACAATGAGTAATTTGTCGATCTGTGGCGACGAAGGTGTATTGACGACGACAGAGGCTATGGTCGCGAGGTGACGTTGTCGAGGTGAAGATGTCGTAGGTCGTCGTAGGTTGAAGTTTGTAGGTAGTCAAGTCAGTCGAGGTCGGTCGGTCGTAGTGTTGAGAAAAGAACTGAAGTCGTCGGTCGAACGAGGAAATTGCGCTCGTGCAGTCAACAGGCGGTTCCCTGTCGCAGCGGTTCGGAGACAGGAATTCCGTCGGTCGTGTAGATGTCCCCGGTCCTCCAAAGGTAGGTAAGTACGGTACCTCAGCTCGGCCACGGCGGGTGTCGAAAAAAGGACAAATTGTGTATCCTGCCACGACGTGCGACACGCAATCTCATGATCTCGTGTTTCCTTATATGTGTCGGTCACTTCCTTGGAATTCAAGGACGACGTGACGGGCGATCGCTTGTCTGGCTGATCAGATCAGGGTCTCGCCTGTACTTCGCCGCAAGTCTTCAACTTGGCGCGCTACTGATTTGGCCGCTATCGCCGCTACACTATTTAAGGTGGTATCGTCCGTCGGCTGCTAGCGTCGCCAGGGCAGCATGGACACGATGGAGTCGTTGATGCCGCTGTTCCTTGTCAGCGGAGTTGCTGGACTCCAGTCAACTCCAGCAATTGTCCAGGTCTCGTCAGCTGAATGTCTCCAGTGGAGGAGGCGGCGACTAGGTCGTTCGAGTTATGGGGCGGGGCCAGTCGAAGGCCTTGGTTGATCTCGGCGCCGCTTCCGGTCGGCTGGAAGACTGAGATTTTGTAAAGTCGGGTGTTTATGTCGACCAGAAGAAAACACGGTAATCTTCAGCGACGGTGGCAGTTTGGTGTTCAGCTGAGGAGATATGTTGGATTCGTTTAGGGATGGAGAATGTCTCGGGTCGGATGAGCGCGGCGCGGGCGAGGGGGGAGTTGAAGAGACACGGAACCCAGAGGAGGAAGATGCGGGATAGTGTTTCTTGTTTAATTGTTAGCGCCAACTGCCGCTGTCATTGTCCAGTCTTGTCACTGATGTTTTCTTTCTTTCAGTTCTTTCCTTTTGTCCTCGACCCCGCCCCGCTGCAGAACATCAGGGGGTCCGTGCATAAATTCTTTTTCTTCAGCGCAGAATGACCCAAAATTTATCCAATTGCCAAATGATTTCTCAAATCTGTTCCCCTTCCAGACGACAAAGACAGATGCAGCGAAAGAGGATCGACACTCACCATATACCGTCATCCCGCGTTGTCTCTTCACTCCTTCAATGTCAACAAGCGAATCGGCGTTGCGACAGCAAATGTGACAGCTCCCTCCCCAACCTGTTGCACACCTCGTTGACTCGCAACCAAATCACGAGGCATAAGTCGCCGTGTTCGAGACCCCTTGAGACCTCTGGGGTACCGATGATCAGCGCAGACGGTGGCGAAGAATATTGCCGACCCCTGCTCCGTCACTTGGTCAGTGGTTGGGAGAGTTCGGGAAAATATGGAGGGCGCAACAATGATGGCTATGGCGCCAGCAATCACGAGGTGGTCCAATCAAGGGAACGGGGGCAGTTGACGACAGACGCGCAGCTATTTGGACGAGGAAGCACGACATGAAGCATACATATATGCAGGAATCACCGGAAAAAAGACACGAGCACGTGTCATAGCAAGGCAGTGTTCGGACGCGGGGTCGAACTCCCCTCGATCGTATGTTCCGGTGAGCATCACGATACAACACGGGACGAACAGCTCGAGTGCGGAGATGGAAAGGGGTAGCATCGTGTTACCTTTGGATCGCACCCACGGCATCCTCCTTTCCAACACATCGACCTGGCGACGTGGGGTTATAATTCACAAGAGGCGCCACTTGAACAGCTGTCTCGACTTTACTCGCAAACTATTCCGACGCCGACTCAAACCCGCTAACATGGCATAGAGCTAAACACCGGTACCACCAGACTATGTCACCAAACATGCCATCAGACCAAAACTCCAGGGAGATTCGGCGAATTGCCGTTGCCAAGAGACGGACGACGGCATTGCTTCTCGCAAGACAGATTCAATCCACCATCAACGGCACTCCCCGGCTTCAAAAAGAACACGTGGATGCAATTTGGAAGCTTATCCTAAAACAAACTAAGATCCCATGGCCACCTTGCAGTCTACCACGGCACTCTGTCCCCCCTCCACCGCGGCAATGGCCTCCTTCAACACCCGATCCAGATCCGCCGTGTTGTCGACCCTGGCCGCAAACAAATCACCACCCGCAGCCGCCTTGGCGATGCCCGCATAATCAGGCGATGGGCTGAACTCGATATTAATGTCTGCATTGGAAGCCTTGGACCCGAGTCCGTCGGGGTGGACCAGAAGCAGAGACCGGCGAGGGGCGTTCCATCCTGTCTCTTGTATTAGTTTCGAGATGCGATAGACGGAGAAAACGGAGGTGTAACCTACCCTTGTTGTTCAGAACAATGGTCAACACGGGAATGTCGTATCTCTTGGAGATCCAGTACACACTTCCCGGTACCGAGAACAGGAACGTTCCGTCGCCCACAATCTGTACGACCAACTTGCTCTTTCCTCCCTTGGCCTTGGCCTCCACCTCCGTAGCCAGCTTGATACCGAGGGCACCACCGCCAGACCAACCGAGACCACCACCACCGCAGTTGATCCACGACCCCGGCAGCGTAGGCTGGATGTTATCGTGCACAAACAGAGTGTTGGTAACAGCCTCAATAGCCCAGATGGTATCCTCGGGGCACAAAGCCCTCAACCGCCTGCACAGGTGACCAGTGCCATACTCTCCGTTCTCTAGGGGCTTTGCTCTTTCGGCAATCTCTTCCAGCTTCTGCTTGTGTTGGGCCTGGAGCTCCTTCCACCTCTTTTCGCGCTCTTCACTCTGCAACTGCTTCTTCAACTCCTCATCAGTCTTTAGCTTCTCCGTCAGCTGCTCCACAGCCGTCAACGGATCAGCCCTGTACCTCGCTTCCGCCTCCAGGTAGAACACGGGCATGACCTGCTTCAAGGGGTCCACATCTACATGGAAGACTCTCGCGTCTTTGCTGGGCTTCATCTGTGTCGGGATCCATGGCACATCACAGTCCAGCACGAGAATGACATCCGCCTCCGCCACAGACTGATCGTTGCCAAACCTCAACCCCAACCAGCCCGGATGATCAGCAGGGAAACACATATCACTACCACCCGTATCCAACACCCTCAATCCCTTGACCGTGTTGGCGAGTTCAACCAGTGCCGGCGGGATAGCATGGTTCCTCCCCGCATACCCCGTCACCACAAGCGGCTTCTTAGCTCCCGCCAACGCACCCGCCATCTCCTGCACTGCCCCCTTGGACAAACCCCCTAGCTCCACCGGCTTCCAGTGTGCCTGGTTCAGCTCATACTTGGGGATCTCCATCTCCATCACCTCTCTGCTTCCACACAAGTACACCGGCCCCTGCGGTTGACTCTTGGCAAACTGCAACGCTCTATTGACCATCTGCTTGACATTCACTCCCGTCTTCAGTTCCGCCGCATACCGACAATACTGCCCCACGATCTGTTTTTGGTCTGGGACATCTTGGATCCAATGGATATACTCGGTCCTTGACCCTCTCAGCTCTCCCTCGATCGTAATCGGACTGATGCCCGCAAACACCAAAACGGGAGCCCTTCCCGCACTGGAATTGTGAACAGCAGCACCCAGCCCCTGCGTGCCAACGTCGACATGCACGATAATTGCCTGCGGTTGACCCGTTAACCGGGCGTACCCGTCCGCCATGGACATGGCTACCATTTCGTTGGGGCAGGTGATGATGCGCGGAAAGGTGGAGGGGGAGGCCTTGCCGCGGACCATGGCTTCGATGATGGACGGGTGATCGGAGCCCAGGTTGACAAAGACATGGGAGACGCCGGCGGCGAAGAGGGCTTCAAAGAAGGCGAAGGAGGTGGTGTACATGTCGGATGAAGAAGAAGAAGAGGTGGTGGGTTGGGTGAGGGGTGGAGGTTGGGAGGACATTTTGTTGGTAGCGGTGGTAGTGGTGGTTAGAGGCGGGTTTGTTGTTGGTGTTACTGGTGACTTGGTAAGTCCCGATGGTGTTGATGATGATGATGTCGAGGTCGATCGGTTGGAGATGCCGATGATTGACGGTAAGTTGAAGAACTCGGCCAGTGCTTGACAATATGGCTCGAGTTGGAGAGGTCGAGGTCGGTATTAGTTGAAGGTAGGGGAAAGCAACTGAATGCAAAGGTGAGTGCAAGTGCAAGTCGTGATGGGACGAAATGCAGTGGTTCCAATCCCGAGACAGGAGCGGGGTATGTGAGGGGGACTTGGAGGAGTTCGGCTCGAGTCTACCGAGACACCGCACGCGCTACTACCCCACGATTTTCCCCGGATTTCCAAAGATGGGATGGGACAAGGGTCAAGGTAGGTTTGATAACTTGAACTGAAGATGAACTCCGAAAGACCGCAGGGACTTTTCTGGTGATGGTGATGATGTTGTAACAGTAACACCATGACAATAGTAAAAAAGGGCACTCAACTGGTATTTATATGATCGGGGAAAGCACGTGAGAGAGAAGTTCGTTATTGTGACAAGAAAGAAGACAAGGGGTCTTGCGCAACTTCGGTTCGGCTTAAGCCCCCCCTCGCTGTTTCCCATTGTGGTCGTCTCGTGACATGCCATTCAATGGAATTGACCAACTGGAGCAGGCAGATAATGCAAGGAAAGTTTACAGCTGAGCGGCGTGCATAGCTGACTGGACGGTGAAGCATTGCAACTCGTACCTTTAACGGCAGGTGAGTGACAGACTGACAGGAGGTGTTACCTAATGATAAGATGTGTATCAAGTGGTTGGTGGTTGGTTGAAGAGACAAGATGTTTGGAGATACATTTTTTGTGATGTTAAGTCTACAGTACGTACTGTAGAATATGGAAATCAAAAGTCCCAGATCATGTCAGCCATGTTTGAAGCTTTGGGTACTTGTAGAATCAGTTCACAGAAAACATGTCGACACGGCTCATTTCATGTCTCACTTTTGGTTTGGCCGTTGTATGGAAGGGTCCACAGACAGGAACTGAACTACTGAAGACTAACAGGAAGCAACGAAACAATATGAAGAACTTAACACTCCATCTCTCCAGCCAGCCCCTCAAAGAGCGGCCCCCCTCCAGGCGGGTGTTTGTCTTGTGTCGATCTGCCGTTGTTTTCCGCTATCTCGGCGGGTTGGGGAACCGCTGCTGGCCGACGGGGTAACCCCAACTTTAAACGAAGTAGACCCACCTGTGGGCCTTAGGTGGACGGTTCGGGAAAGAGTGGGGATTGGATTCCTTCCACCGCGGCGGGCTTATCGATAAGGTATGAGATCATCAGTTCCCTTCCCTTGAATGGGGGACGCTGCGACTCTGTGAGCTTTCGTTGATGAAAACAAAGAACTAACTTCCACTTGAGCTTGGCATCATCACCGCTTGGCAACTTCACAAGTTTCAATTAACGCGCCCAGCCGGAGTCCACCGCCGTCATGTCCTTACTCGAAATGGCGTTGGAGGTTTTTTGATGTGTCAACGAACACCGCGGATCGCGTTATGACAAGAACTAACTCGGACAAGTGTGCGCGATCAGATGTACGAATCACAGAGCAACACCTCGACTCTATTGACTCAAATTAGGTCATGGTTTTTGTTTATCCAAAACTTTGGTCAGATCTGGTAGCCAGCGAGTACCTAGGTCCATTCCATGTTCCAGAAGTTGATCCTGACAGATTGCAGTCAAGTCATCAATCAAACTCATTCCCGTCCCGAAACGCCGAATGAAAGGAAACCAATCCATCGTAAAGTCATGTCATCCGTTTGTCTACCAACTCCCAAGGTTGCGGGAAACCCCATGAGACCACGGGTCATCTACTCATTCAACCCCAGCTCCTCATCGCTTGGCTCCCGGTACGTTCCCTTGGGCTTGGCGTGTCTCGTCTTTTCCTCGATAATGTTGGACTCGTCGATGGCTTCAGTGTCGTCCTTGGCTGTTTTCACGAATCTATTAGTATCTGTCCCTCTATCGTGATTTATGTTCACCAAGGTTCTTCGTGAGGACAGGAAGTAGAAAGAGAGAAACTGAAGACGTACCCAATTGACGATCGCTGTCCGCCTCCTCTGGAAGAAGCCCATCTTCGACAGGCGCGTTGTCGTCAATGACGGGAACGGCTTCTGTGCCCTTGGTCTTGTAGGAGGGGTCGTTGACTTGGCCGGAAGGGGCCTCGTTGGAAAAGTTGGCGCTGGACATGTTGGTGGTTTGTGGGCGGTTATTGTGTGTAGAGATATGTGAAAGTAGTAAGGTTAGTCTTGATGACTGGGTGCAAGTAGGTTGTTTGATTGGGCTATCACAAAATTAGGTATGAAGGTGAGTTCATGAGAGATGGTTTTACAATCAGTGGGTCAGTGTTTTTATGTTTCCTCCCTCAACCATGGACGGGCTATTCCGTTCCCATTTTGTTGAGCTGAGCCTCAAAGACTCAAAATATGGATGACGGAAGCGATTACATCTCCGATCATCGAGGAGCAAGCCACCGGCAAACCATCACCGATTAAACCTCTGCGGCTTTCGTCCCTTTTCTTTTCTCTCCATCTGTCAATAGTAGCATCATGTGCACTGTCCAATATATTGCGTGACGTCGTGCATCCTTTCCTAGATTGGACTCTGTTTCTGATTGTTTCTGATTTCCTGGGGAAATCGCATCGATCGTATTGGCGATCGATGGTGTTCGATGCATTCGGTTTGTTCTTTGAGGGCTCCACCGGACGCGGATCGACCCGTCCCACTTCTGCCACGATTCACATTCCGATCTATACACTAATTCACGCCTAACTAGGCAGGAACCCTCACTACCTGTTTCAGCATCTACTTTGGGATCATTCCCACCGTACTGTGTTAGGAATTGATCATTTATTGATATGATGAGTCAATATTTCGTTTGCCAATGTTCAAAAGGATGAAGGGATGAGTGATTGTCTTGCGCTGGTTAGGATGCAAAGTGCCGGTGGATACGTCATGACGGTGCTGGCAGCATCATCGATAGGCAGGAGCGAACAAACAACCTAACATCGGATTGCAGGACCGCGGGGAGGAATTACTCCGGGCTGTTTCATGACTTGTCAGGTAGGATGACTTGGATGGAAAAGTAGAAGGTTATGGGATGGCCAACTGGGGCGAGAAAAGGTATATAAAGGTCTCTTGCTCCCATCAACTGCCTCAAAAATATTCCAGCAGACCAGACAACCAAACAAACACACTTCATTCCCAAGACATCACTCACAAACAACCAACCTCTTCCAATCCAACCACAAAACAAAATCAGCCAATATGTCCGACTTCGAGAACAAGAACCCCAACAACGTCCTTGGCGGACACAAGGCCACCCTTCACAACCCTAGTACGTATCCTCCTCAGCGCCTCCAGCTTCCGTCCCTCGTCGACATTTTCTTTTTCCATATCACATCCATCCAAGCCCCACAATCCATGACTAACCAGAAATATCACAGATGTGTCCGAGGAAGCCAAGGAGCACTCCAAGAAGGTGCTCGAAAACGCCGGCGAGGCGTACGATGAGTCTTCTTCGGGCAAGACCACCACCGACGACGGCGAGAAGAATCCCGGAAACGTTGCGGGAGGATACAAGGCCACCCTCAACAACCCCAATGTGTCCGACGAGGCCAAGGAGCACGCCAAGAAGAAGCTTGACGGCCTCGAGTAAGCTCACAGTTCACGAAAGAACCATTCGACGAGGGGAAGCACGGAGTTATCTCGTTCGAAACATGGGCCTTGTAAATGCGAATGCATGATGGGGAGGATAATGAATCATGAGGTGTACGATATGGACGATATGGACGGATCTTAATTTGATGACAGTAATGAAATCACACCATAGTCCCGAGCTGCTTTGGTCCAAACTCATCGTGAACTTTTTCTTGTGTTGCTTCTGTGATCACTCGTCGACTGTCGTGCGGGACCTCGAGACCGATCCCGGCTCATCCTACTCCCCAACCCTGATAACAACCTTTCCCTTCGCCCTCCCACTGCCCAACCTCTCATAGGCCTTCACCAACTCCTCCATCTCCCAAACCCCACCATCCACCAAGCCCCTTTCAATAACCCCCTCCTCCACCAACCTCCCCACCTCCCTTACAGTCTTCTTTCCGGGGATCAACAACAACAACTCAAACTCCCTCGGCGTCCTACCCAACCACACGGGCCTCAACTTATTCTTGACATAGGGAACAACACCCTGCGATGGTCCTCCAGCAATACTGATAAACTTCCCCTCCTTCTTCAAATACCCCGGCGATTGAGAAAACATATCCTGGCTTCCTGCGCAGTCAAAGATGAAATCCAACTTATCCTCCCCAAACAGCTCGGCCAAGTGCGCAGTGACGGGGTGATGATCCTTGTAATTAACCACCTTTCCTCCGCACTGCGTCACCAACTCCTCGCCTTCCGCAGAACCTGTAGTCCCCCATACTTTTGCCCCCTTTCCTTTGAGAATCTGCGTGAGAATACTCCCCACGCCGCCACTAGCGCCATTAACCAGGCATCGCTTCCCCTTCCAGTCCGCATCTGATGCGACACCAGCAGTCTGCGCCATGAGCACGGCGGTTTGTCCCGCGATGCCAAACAACCCCACTGCTTCTTCCCCGCTCACCTCATTCCTCCCGTTGAGTCCCCCCCATGTCTTTGGCTTTTTGGCTACCAGCGAGGAAGAGACGAGAAGGTATTCGGCCAACGAACCTTTACCCCAAAAGACATCTCCTGCTCCCAGAGCTCCACAGACTACGTCGCCCACTGTGAACTCGTTGGCGTCCACATCAGGTCCGGCGCCGATAACTCGTCCGCAAAAGTCGAATCCAGGCGTGGGGTTTCGACGGAAGGGAAGCCAGTGCGGGAATAAGCGGAGGATGTGCAAGTCGACGGGGTTGAGTGCCGCGTGGGTGATTTTGAGGAGGAGGTTGTTGTCCGTGATGGTTGGCTGGGCCTGGGTGGTTGCGGAGGGGGCAATGGATGGGGATGAGCCGGGAAGGGGATGAGAAGGGGAGAGGGTGAGGCCGGCAGAGGTGAGTGTCCAGGCGCGCATTTTGGCAGGGAGTTCTGATGTTGAAGAGGGAGATGCCATGGTTGGTTGATGTTGAGCTACGGTGGATTGGGTTGGTGATGGTAGTGAAGTGGTATGTATGGTGTTGTTGATGTTGGTGATGTTGAATTGCAGAGTGATCATGGTTGGTTGAACTGAAATGTCCAGATTCAGGGGTTTGTCGAGTTGGCGGCTTGGCGCTGTTAGCGAGACGTGGATGAATCGGGTGTCCCAATGGTGATGGTCTGGCTGGATGATGCTGATGTTGGGGCTAATGGTAAATTACCTTGGATAGAATTTATGGAAGGAAAGAAGTGTCCATGAAGATAATGAAAAGCCGGATGATGATACAAGCACTGAAAGAAAGATGAAACAAAAACAGCTCCTGGGTGAAACCAGAACTGCCGTTGTCGTGTCAGTGCCACTCCGGAACGGGACGAGAGCTTGGGCCATCCGGGATCTAGGGCCCCAGTACGGCTCCGGCTTTCTCAGCGGCAGGACCCTCCTTCCGTCTACCGTCCGAGACCATATAAGCCCGAAGAATCGGACCTTCAAACACGGCCAAGTAGTCTACGTGGTAGTGTACTGGGTCCAGAAAATGCGTGGTATTTTCGTAGGTTTAACCCGTGCTCGTCCAGAGTTGACTCATCCCGAGTTCGATTCCGAGCATGGGCGAGCTGATCTTTTTTCTTCTTTTTTTCTTCCCTTTTGTTATCTTCGTTTTTCCTTTCATTTGGTTACTCCCGTCCGTCATAACTGCATCTTTTCTTATAGGCAACCGGGACGGCGATTCCTTGCAAGCCTCCAGAAACTTCAACAAGGCTCAGATCACATCCACGAGTAAACGCACCCTTTCCAGAAACGCTTACCAGGTTCAAGCAAAAACTCAAGATGGCTATGAGGTTGGCCGTCAATATCAAAAGATATGTAAAGAAGCCTTTTACTTTCATCCACTGAAAGTAAGAAGCTCCGACGTTCCTGAAGAGTCCCTTCCGCCACAGCGCAACTCTGGCCCTCTCAAAATATATCACCACTGGAAACATCTACTGAGGGGATTAAAAAAAAGAGAAAAAGGAGAAATGAAGAAAGAGGAACGGGGAGCGTATAGTAGAGGCATCTTCCTCTTTATACGTACCTCTTCATATTAAAGGTAACAGGAGACTACTGGAATTTCCATGAGATTAAAAGGCGCCCAGTATGGGAGCAAAAGCAACAAGCATACCGTCAGTGCTCTCTTTGGTCGTCATAGCCCGACTTGACCACTCTTTAGGTGGCTCGCCAGCGGCTCAGACCTGTCTACCAAGAAAGTGTCTCTACTCGAGAGCAAGAGGCTTCGCCCTGGATGCAGGCAAAACCATTGCAAGCTCGTTTGAGGAGACGACGATCTCGGGCAGGCTTTAGTGCTTTCGTCATCCGGTTGCTTTACTTGCTGCGTCTATGTCGTAGGGGAGAATGGCTAGAAGTGTATCCAGATGAAACGAGATGGGGTCAGGTGTGAAAGAGAGAAACGCCAAACGCATCAAAGCAGGATACGCAGGCTGGAAGATGACATGATCCATTATTCTTTTAGCGCCATAGAAAACCATACCCGAGCCCATAAGCAAACAAGACAAGAGAAAGAAACCAAAAAAAGCTGATACTCGCAGACGACCACAGCTTAGTGCTTCCTCCTCGACGTGCTGTTCACCAACTTCTTCTTCATCGCCTTGGGTATCTTCTCTTTCCTCTTCTCCCTCTTGGCCTCCTTAACCGCCGCCTTATGCTGCTTCTTTTCGTCCTTGTCGATGAACCTCTTGCCTCTTGGTGTTCCCTTTTCGAATCGGCTCTCGTCATCCTCGTCATCACTACCCTCCTCTTCGTCACCACTGCCCTCCTCCTCCTCCTCAGACTCCTCCTCTTCCTGATCCTCCGCCGTCTTGTGCACCACTTGATCCGCCAATAGGTTCTTATATACCAAATCCTCTCCCTGACCCTCGTTCACCTTGGCAACATCCTTCTCGATATCGTAAACCTCGTTCAGCGTCTTGGGGATGTACTGGTTTCTGAAAACCTCGTTGTCGACCTCCTGCTCGGCCCTGGCCTCCTCGGTATCCTCCACCTCCACCCTCGTCTGGTACAGCTGTTCGACCGTTTCCTTCATACCGGGTTCCTCGACCGGTCCCTTGGGGTTGACGATGAAATCGAAAATTGTGCGGTCCGACAAAGTGTCAACACCCTTCCTCCTGAAGAAATCTCCGACGTTCTTGATATCCATACGAAGGAACTCAAGCGAGTGGGGATGATCGTGCTCGACGGATTGGGAAACGTCAATGATATAGAGCTTCTTGTTGTTGTAGAGAATGTTGTATTCCGACAAATCGGCGTGGACGAGGCGGCAGACCTGGTACAACTTGCGCATGAGGCCAAGGAGTTGGATGTAGAGGTCGCGCCATTGCTCGTCGGCGTCGTCGCCTGAGATGGGAGCGTCGCGCAGACGGGGGTAGGCCCAGCCCTTGCGATCTCCCAAGAAGCTCATGACGAGAACGTGCAGCTTGAGCTTGATGGGCTCCGGGCAGGGGATGCCGGCTGTGTACAAACGGCGCAGGTTTCGGAATTCCTTTTCGGCCCAGAGCTTGACCATCTTCCTGTTGTTTCCCTTTTCGCTGCCGCTCTTGAAGCGGTGTTCACCGGTAATGTACTTCTCGCGATCCTTGAACACCAGAATGGCCGTCTTGTAGATCTTGATGGCCTTGTGTATGGGGGCCGAGCCATCCTCGGGGTGGAGGATGGCACCGTAGACGTTGGCTTCCTTGCCCGTGCTGATGGCGCCGTGAATCTCGGAGACAAAGCCCTGGTTGATCATCTGCAGCAGGATCATGCGCGTGCGCTGGTCGAGGACGAGTTCGGAGGTGGCACGGTCGGACTTGTCTTTGCTGCGCTCGGCGGGACCGGAGGCATTGTCGAAGGCGTCGATGCGGATCTTTCCGGCGAACTTGGATAGGGCGGCAATCTGGTCGTCGACGCGGGCCGACGTGTTGGCTGTGGGTTTTTGTTGCTGGGCCTGAGCTTGGGACTGCTGAGAGTTGGTAGCACCGGCGCCATGTTGTTGGCGGTTGTACGACTTGGTCAGGTCGGCGCCGCCATCTTCGTAGTCGAGGTCATCGTCCGATTCAAAGACATCTTGGAGGTCGTCGTCGTCGTCTTCCTCTTCGATCGCAAGGTTGTCGAGCTGGGCGGTGGTGTTGCTGAGGTCGACATTCTGGTTGTCGGTCGCCGCTGTGGTCGACGTGAGTTCTGGTTGGGACGCCATCTTGCTGCCGAGTCTGCTTTCGTCAGTTCCGTCGGTATCAGCAGGTGGTGATGAGACAGGATGGCAGACGAAATGGAAAGCGTCATGGAACTTGCGAACTTCCACTGGCAATTTTCTTGGTGGGGCGAGCTTACCTTATCTTATCGTAATGCGGGGTGTCTTCCAGTTGTAGGGCTGTTTTCGAGATTCAGGGTTAGGGTAATCCGTGAGTATCGAGTTCTTGACGACGATGACTCGAAGACGGATTGGAATTGAACTGAGGATGTTGTTGAATGTTTGCGTTCCAGATGATATGGCTGTTCATTAAGTAGTCTTTGGCTCCCTGCAGTATTCAGCATTTATAATTTGTTTTGCCTCTACGAGTATAAACCACTTTGCACCCCTGCACCGATGGCGACCAGTTTGCCACTAGAGTGAGCTTGTCGCCTACGCTAGGCGATGATGTTGACGCTATCATTCTGATTCATTCCACATTCATTCCTTGCGCTTTTGCATCTTCGACATCTCAACACGGTGCGGAACACACCTGCTTCTGCCGGTGACTCAATCAGCACTAACAGCACTAACAGCACCCATTGCCCGCTTCCCTGTGGGACAGAACCCAGCTGTTAGTGCTCATAAGGGGCGACCACCCAAAAGCCAATTCTCCACCCATGGGGCATGGGCCGATTCCCAAAGTCATCAAGCAACACCATGGTCTCGGGTATACAGGGAAACCTATCGCCATCCACCTTACCTTCCATTTTACTTATGGTCAAATCTGGTATATGACCTCTGGAGATATGTGTTTCATCAACGGAAACGATGGAAACTTGCAATCAAAGTAGAGCCATCACGACCTTCTGGCCTGCCTCCGGCACCTCATCCAGGCATACATTGACATGAAGCGTTGAGATGATTTGATTCATGGTCGTTGATGACTCCCACGTCAACAAACGGATAATGGGTCATCGACCACCCGAGTTCAGGAATGAACACATTTACATCATGTGTGAGTCGCAATTTGATGTCCTGTTCCTTCTATTTTACCTGCCCCTGACCTTTACCTTCCCACTTCCTGATCAGGTCTTAACCTTTTCCATGATTCCTCCTTTTTCGTGATTCCTCCTTTTCCACGGTCCCTTCTTTTCATATTGAATTCCCTGCACGGTACCTAGAGGTATATTACCGGCGATGTGAGCCTTTAAAATCATAGAGAAGAGGACCCAAATAGTGAGGCATAGGTAAGTACCTACCATTCAAGGCTGCAAGAACCAATCTCGATTGCATATATCACACTCCCCAACCTCAACCCAACGATCCAGCCGCGAATCATGCTGAAGATTGCCTCGACAGCCTCTACTGTTGCAGTTCCGCCTGTTGTGTCTTTGCGTACAATAGTTGTAGCGGCGAAGGGTCCCCTGGAATAGGTCTTTGCCACCCCGGCACCGATCGCCGTTGCGGCAGAACCTGTATTCAATGCCGTATCTGCACATTTGGACTTGTGTTCTCTCCTATGGTATGGGTGTTAGTGCTTTTTGTCTGGGAGGTTGGTTCAGATTATTGTGATGCTAGCTCACTGCTTGTGGTTTGCGTGTTCTGGTGGTTTCTTTCTGTAGGTTCAAAGCTGGTCTATCTTCACCTTCGCTTGGTTGCTTGGTTGATGGGCTATCTGGTGGAAAAGATCGTAGTGGTGGAATTATGGGGATATTTATATATTTCCGAGGAGGAACTATTTGGCATTATTTGAGGTCCTTGGACTACTTCCTTTACACCCCATGAAGGGAGGTGAATGGCTTCAGAGAACCACTGTGAAGTTCGTTGATTGAGCCCCTTGAAGAGTCGGGTTGCCCTCGTACCGGAAACAGGAAAGAATAGATCGGCCTCCCATGAGAAGCGAACAGGTTGCTCATGTTCGATCGCTTCACTCAACCTCCATCTATTATTTGTCCCATTCACATGCCCTCCACCTTGCAAGAGTTGAATCTCAAACAATTTGAGATCAGTCCCTCATCTCAAGATCGAATGACCATGGACAGAGGTATCCTGCTTCTTATGGCCTACGTCTAGAGGTATTCATTGACGCCGCTCAATCCTGTCCTCCCGCCTACCGCAAAGACCCTTCACGGTCACATTTTGAATCGATCATCTCTGTCCCTCTAGAAGTCAATTCACCGTGTGCCCAGCAGAGAATTTTATCCCAAACGGATCCTGTAGTTCCCGTCCTTTCAGGAGAAGGACCCCAAGAAAGCTCAAGGAACCTCAGGCAAGGGAGACTTGGTCCTGATCCCAAAGCGGATAGTTCATTGGGGCATCGATCGCTGTACAGGATCATGGGTTTAGTCCTATTGGGCAGTCTGCTAGCCTGGGACAAGCTTCGCCGTGGGAGGGGAATGCCAAGACACACCTTGCTCATCCGCCATGTTGACGACACTCGATGGTAGAGGTACCTAGATTTAGCGTGGGTGTATGTCCATGAGACTGCCCAAATCCTAGATCCAATAGTCCTTCTCGTTACAGCAATTATTTTGCTACTAGATCCAATCAAGCTTCCACTTCATCGCTGGAGGAAAGGATAGAGATGATGAAGCCTTGTACAGGACGGAACGTGCTTGAGCGACACATAAGAGTAACGAGATAGGTTTTGAACATCCAGCTTTGCCACTTGGAACACTGAATCAGTCAGTGTTTGTTTACATTACAGACTAAGTTGATGACTACCTACCTACCTTATCCAAGAATGATTGCCTTCCAAGCTCCCATGTTGCCGGTCGTGACATCCAGCCACACCATTTCTGTTTCCATGCCATGCCCAATGAGTAAAGAACACCAAACATACGCTGACCCAAACACCAACAAGCCTAAATCAAATCATCGGTGAACCCAAGACCTTCATATCATCATCAAAACGGTCGTTCCCCGGCCGACCCGGGTCCATTCAACGGCATCTTTCTTGGTGTCGGCGTGCTCGGCTCTGTTTCCCTCTCATACGCAGACTCAACTTTGCCCTCATTCTCAGGTTCTCCATGTGCTTCCAACTCATACGATCCCTCTCTGGTGTCCTCCAACGGAACAACGGCCCATCTCCCCAAGGGCCTATCCACCACCCCCCACAAATCCGCTGGCACATAATCGCCCACTTCCAACCGGAAATGCTCTCTCTCTCTCTTGTCCGCCTCCACCAGCTTGTCCACCTGCTCCCTCGCTTTCCTCCATATGCTGTCAATCTTGCCCTCCACCGCTCTTCGTCGTTCCACTTCGAGCAGTAAGCCGCCATAAGCATTCAGGAACCCTTCGTAGAACTTTTTGAGCTCGTCCATCTTTGACACGTTCTCGTCGATCGTCTCCTTCTCGTCCTCCCATCTTTGCACAAATTCGGCCTCGGCGGCAACATACGAGGACGCCCGGGCACCGACCTCCACGAGCAGGGAGAAGCATGTGAGCGTAGCGGCGTGGGAGGCTCGGCTGGCTGAGAAGAGCGAATGGAGAGATGCATGATCCATCTCCATTTGTTGCAGTACGTTGTGAATATCGGCAACCACGTCATCGACCTCGGCGGCATCGCGCATCACGACGTGTAGTAGTTCCTGGCGCTCGAGAGGGTCCATGGGTTCAAAGGCCGATGGGCCCGACTCGGATTCCTGGGCGGAGATGACGCCTGATATGGACACTGGAGCCTGGTCCTCGTCTGACGATGTGGCTTCTGCTGCGCGCCGGCGGGCCAAAGCAGCCCCGCCTTCGGTGGTGCGCACGGCGGTTACGCACATGTCGAAGTGCCGAGTCAAAGAGGAGAGATGTTCGGCCATGAGGTGGGAACCCTCGGACAAGGCGGAGAGCAGGTTGGGTATGGATCGCTGGTCGGGGGGACACCCGTCGGGTGCTGTAGTGGTTGGGTTGGCGAGGGAGGCGGCAGCGGCCATGGCATCGGTGAGGGTACGCAGGTCGGTGTCAAAGCGGAGGAGATCGCCGTCGAACGAGGTCTTGGCTGCTGAAAGCTCGTGGATGCTCTCCTTCAGCGCGTCGCGTACCTGCTCGACAATCTTGGGGTCGACAAAGTCCAACAGACACTTGGGCTCTTCGCCCGGCTGGCGGAAAACGTTCTCGACTGTGGTCTTGCGCAGAACCTGCATAATCTTTTCGAGTCGGCCGTCGGCGGTGTCGAGGGTGCGGATGATGTGCTTGAAATCGCGGGTGCCGTTATCATAGGCGCGTGCCATGCCCCGGCGGAGTTGGTGAAGAATGTGAAGCTCTTGGAGAATGCCGTGGCGCAAGAAGGCGGTCTGCGCCGAGAGGATGACGAATTCTTGGTGCATCTGGCGTGCCGAGGTCGCCAGGTCGTTGGCGCGCAGGACAAGGGTCATGGAGGAGAGGGACTGTTTGGCGGCGAGGAGGTGCTTGACGAGGATTTCAACGGGCACGTCGTCGGCGTTGAACTCGGACGAGTCGGCCCCATCCTCAAGCTCGTGGCCTGGTGGTTCGGGGGATAGTGCTGGGGCGGCGGCGGCGGCGGCGGCATCGTGAAGGGACGTTCGTGAGGGCCGTCTTGGTTGGGGGGCGTCATCGGGTAAGAGGGCTGCTGGTGGGCTGGGAGAGTGGGAGTGAAAGCTCGCCATTGTGACTGACTGACTGACTGGGTTGTCGTGGCCGGGGTGGAAGAAGGGACTGGAATGGAAGAGCCGGTCGAGGTTGGTGACGGTGGTTCAGTGCATGTTGGGTAAATGGTACCTAGTATCGACTCGCTGACCAGCAGGAGAATCAGATAAAGGTGGGTAGGCTGGGTTGTAAAGAAAGAAGACTTGACACCCGACAGAACTGGGAGAGATGGAAGATGGTGACGGAGGAGTGGAAGGGGGCCCGAAGTGGAACATGAGATGTGGATTGTCACCGAGCGGGACAACGCGCCGCGTCATGTCAGCTCTGACAAGCATTGCGGGGAACTGAAATACATATATGTACAGGGCCACAGGGGTTCTGTTAAGCCCACTGTAACCACAGCTGCTTGGGAGTGCATTACTTAATGCCCGGGCCTGACTGTCATGTGACTTGGATTGGAACGGCAACTGAATAAAACATCGCTTCAACCCCCACGTGACCCCTTTATTTGTTTAATCTTTCGTCGGAAACACGGACACCACCTTGCGATTCGACCCGGATGAATGCTCAGAGGAGGAGTACCAACGGGCAGGAGAGCGACCTCTAAAGGAACTACTAGGCATGGAACGGGCAGCGCACTCCAAGACCACACGACGTGGGCGCAAACGGGCACCTTCTCTTTCTATATACCTACACGAGCTGGGCCGCTCAAACGTCCGGGTAAGGTATTAGTAATTTTCGCGGGCGGTCGCTACGTAAAATCCTGCACGCACTACCAGTGTCATAGCGCACGGACCGAAAACCCGCTTTTTGCCTACAAAAGTATTGTTAGCACTATCTAAATTTCGCGCTTTTTTTATTAGTACATTCCCGTACTATCGTTTTTCGCGCTTTAGTAGACTTTTTATATACTTATTAATTAATAACGTTAATAATAAAACGTTCGATATACTTCTCTAATATACTCGTACGGCCGCTATAAGCCTTATAAACCCTAATACTAATTGTAGAAGAAGGCTGCGAAGAATTGTAAATAATTCCTAGACTTTATTCTATACTATTTACTACGAGAATAAACCGATTTCGGACTTCCGTCTTAATACTTATAAAGCGCCTTATAAAACGTATATATTATATACCGAATCTATAAGGACTATATATATATAGTAGTAGATTGAGCGTTGAAAAGTTTAAGCGGAAGTAGCCTGAGTAATAATTGTATAAGGATTACCTAATCCGGTTTCTATAGATGTATAAGGTTTATAGTTAAGAGAATTACATATTTAAATTCTATTTAATAATATTTAAGCTACCTTTTATATAGATTTAAGTCCGATAAATATTGTATACGAGTCTTACGGTACGAAATATTGGTTAAATAAATAGTTTATTATTTATATACCCTCTTTTTAGTTAGAAATATTCTATTAACCTTTATTATAAGGTACTTCCGTAAATAATTTTTAAATTTAGTAAATATTATATATATGGTAATATTAATTTGCTTTGTTGAAAATTATTGTTAGCCTTCTTATGTACGCTATTTATAAGGAATGATTAATAGGCCCGGAAGTTTTAGGAAAAGCTATAGTACTATAATAGTACCTTTGCTTTTATATTTATAAATTGTATAGAAAAGGCGTATAGGGGTAGTAGTAGGCTCTAGAACTTTCAAATATAGGGTGCCTTATACTATTTATAAGGTTCTTTACTGCTAAAACCGGGTAAGCTTCTTAAATATACTTAATTATATATTTATAATCTGTAAATACCGAATCCCATGCAAATTTAAATTGGGTAGCATTTTTAAGCCTTTTTAAATATAGATTCTAAGTCCGTAGAGGATTTTATATTCTTTCTATATTATTACAACCCGTTCGTAGATATTTATAATAATGCACAGGAGCGCTTAGAAGCTTACTAGTCCGAAAATACTTATATTAAATTCGATCCTTAAATATATTTATAATTAATTATATAGGAATGTATTAATTAGAGGTGCGAAAACCTTCCTACTACGGACGAGGTTATTAGAATCCTTCCGGATATACTTAACGAGTAGGATAAAGTACGTGAGGACGGTACGTTTAGCTCTGTAAGATTTATTATTTGGAGTTGTAAGGGTTTTTAAGTATTTAATTATATTCTAATTATTTACCCTATTTATTTTCTTTTAATATATATATTAATATTACTATACAGGGATTATAGGTTTTATTGCTCCTTAATAAAAGTGAATACTATTGCCCGTAAAGACCCTTATATAAAGTAGAATAAATAATATAAATATTATTTATTCCTGCGTAGTAGTTAGGAAAATATTCTATTCCTATTTAAACGGCTTTTCTAATAATAGTTGGTAGATAGATTTGCTATAAGTAATTAGAATGAATTAGATTAGTTTAAGTACTATTAAATAGAAATTTATATAGAGCTATACTAGAATTTAATAAATTCAATTAGTAATACAGATATTTAAGAAGGGCAAGGTAGTATTACTTTAAATATTAGGTAGAGAATTATATTATTTATAAATTATATTAGTAGTGCCCGTTATAATACAAAGTACTATTAAAATTCTATAACTATAACTTGTAAGTTAAGAAAGCCTACGTTCCTTATTACTATAATTGTAAATTTATATTAGTTAGAGGTTAAATAGGAGTTGAATGGTTTTAGTACTAGTAATTAACCGGATATTATTAATTATATATTTAATTTTAAATCGAATATATTAATTAAAGAGATTAAGAAAAGTCTTTTTAGTAATTGTATTAGCGTTATATAGATTCTGGAATTCTAGAAACGAGGCCTTCTATACTAATATATCTTAGACTTTTTAGACTTTGATTCTTAATAAGTTTATTTATAACTAGAAGTTATGGACCGGGCTATACGAATAGAATTTCTAACTTTGGAAAAGGACCCGGACAGCCGGCTTAAGGGTTTATTAGGTACTCTTTTAATTTATAGCCCTTATAATATAGATAACCGGAAAGCTTTATATATAGTTATAGATAAAAAGGATAAAAAGGCTGCACTAAAGTATAGAAAGCGGTATTCTAAGCCTTATATAGTAGAAACGACTATTATTAGAAAGATTAGGTACCCTTCTTATAAGTACTATAATAGTAATATTTATATTACGAAAAAGGTGAAAAGGAATAATATATAGCTAAACAATAGGGCGGTTATACTATATAACCCGTACTTAGTCTTAAAGTATAAATATTATATTTATATAGAGGTTTACTCTATTGTAGATACTATTAAATATATTTATAAATATATTTATAAGGGTATAAATAGGATTATTATAGAGATTATAGAGTTGGATAAATTTAAACAGTATATGTTTATATAGTATATAAGTCTAGCGGAAGTATTTATTCGGACTATAAAATAGGGTATTTACGAGGAATATCCTCTAATTATACTTCTAACTATATATTGTAAGAATAATCCTTCTATTACTATAATTGCTAATTTACTCCTTAATAAGGTAGTTGTACGGATTGAGTAGGTTGCCTAAATTATACTAAAAGGGTTCTTTAAATATAATACGGAATATTTTAATAGTCCGAATAGAGATATTCTATATATAGATTTCCCTTCTAAATACATTTAAAAGGAGAGTACGAAAATTTAATAATTATAGTAAAAGGGTTTTATTATTAGGCGGCTTTATTATATTCTTCCTATAGTTAATAAATAGTCTTTTTATATTTATTCTTATTAAACGTACTTAAGCCTACCTTATTTTAAGATTTACGTATTATAAATAGTATAGTATATAATATATTTAGAAAAGGTTTATTTAAAGCGAGGGCTCTTGAATATAATTCCCAGTAGAATGTATTATTTAAAGAGGTTGGAATTTAGTAGATTGGGCGGCAATTATAGTATTTATTTACTATATACTTAATAAATAGTAATTTTATAACGGATCCGAAAGGTACTTAGGATAAGGTTAGATATTTATTTTATAACGATTTACTCTATAGAATAGCCGGAATAGTAGGTATACCTCCTAATTTATAGGATTTGTATATTAATTACAATTTATATTTTATTAGCTAATATTTTATTTAATTAGAGAAATTTCTTTTCAGTATATATTTCCCAGAATTAGTATTTATATAGGAATAAATAGATAGAAACCCTTTTTTACAATAGGAGTTATAGTATAATCTGGATAAATAATAATAGTTTTTAGACGATATTTAATTTAAATTTAATATTAGGTAAATTATAGTCTTTAATAATATTATTACGGCCGTAGAAAGTAACTTTAAAGAGGCCCTCTTCTTTGTATAGGGACCGGGAGGTATTAGAAAGATATTTCTCTACTATAGGCTATATATATACTTTTATACTCGGAATAAAGTAGTATTATACGTAGTATTCTTTAATATTATAGTACTTTTATTAGAAGGCGGCTAAATTATATACTTCTAGTTTAAAATTCTTTTAGATGTTTCTACCTTATAAATATATAATATTAAGAAGAATACTAACCTATATAAATTATTAGAATGGACTTCCTTAATTATTTAGGACGAAGTTCCTATATAAGACTAGGGGTATATCAAAATTGTAAATTATATTTTATAGGATTTATTAAGTTGTAAGGGTATTTAGTTTGGTAGTATTCTAACAATTTTTAGTTGGGACTTTACTTAAATTTTACCCGTAAAAAAGAAAGGTAACCGGGCGGAAATTGTATTTATAAACTTTAAGTACTTCCTTATTCAGGATTATATTAAAGTTTTACGTCTTATGAAGAATATACTTATTTAGGGAGCTACCGAATAGACCCGTATAT